ACCAGGGGCTAACTCATGTTCTTTCAAGTTTTCTGTGTGGAGACATTTGCTTTCAGGAATATAACAAAAAACTATTTGGTTTTCCTTCAATTGGACTGAAGCATATAAATGAGAATATAACAGAAAAGTTGTAAAGACTTACAAAATGTGAACGGGTACTTCCCAGAGAATTCTATCTAAACAACTTCTATCTAAACAACCCCCCTCCTCTCATTTCCTCTAAGAGAAGGAAATGGCTGTAGTCCTGGGCAATAAGGCTACCCAACCACCTCTGCTTATTAGATATTGATAGAGGCGATAAGTATCTCATTTGAGCAGCTGACATACCAGCCACCACTGTCAGGCTTCAGTTAATATTCTTTCCTCTTCTATACCCCATTTTACTTTAAAAATTTTTAAATATTTTTTTATTGATTTCAGAGAGGGAGAGAGATACATCAGTGATGAGAATCATTGATCAACTGCCTCCTGCATGCCCCACACTGGGGATTGAGCTTCCAACCCGGGCATGTGCCCTGACCAGGAATCAAACAAACCATTATCTCCTTGTTCATAGGTGGACATTCAACCACTGAGCTATGCCTGCTGGGCCATTTTACTTGTAGAATTATCTGTATTTAAAATTACTTAGAAGAATCTACTTGCTCTGCTGAATACTAACACCAGAACAATTTCTAAGCCAAGGCAGAAGCATCTAACAACAGTGGCTAGAGGAAGAGACATAAGGTAGGAGTGGAACATCTTCCAAGCAGATCCCCACCTTGCCTCACACTTCCCACTTGGTGTTTGAAGCTAGTCTGGGGAAAGCCTGTCCCAGATCCAGGACTAGGGCACTGGAGTCTTCTACCGTTAGCCCCTCAGTCTCCTCACCTCCCCTGTATCGTTTTTGCTGTAATCTGAGTCAACAGAATAAGGAACTTTTATTCTCACTCAGAAAAGCGAAGTCAGGTAAAACTGCAGGGATTCCTAAGAACCTGATATCTATGTCCCAGACCAGGAAAAACCTAAAGGAAGTCTCTGAAATCTACAATAGCCTGAGAGGTGTTGGTGAAGGAGAGGGGCCAGTCCCTCTTGCAAAGATGACAGGCCTGACATCATGCAGGCTGTGTAGGATACTCAACACTGATCCAATCTTTTCTTCCCTTTGGGTTTCTCCCCAGAATTATTTTGTATAGTGTATCTAATTATTGAGTTACAAATCATCTTTGGAATAAAAATAGTAGATAGGTATGTAAGTCTGCCATTCTTCTTCTGTAATATTCCTCCAGTCCATTTTTTTTCTGCATTCTCAATACAACCAGTGACATCCTGGTACTTGCTGTGTGATGGGACTGATGGAATAGTTTCTCAGAAGACAACCTTTCAGCTCCATTATATCTTGTACACCTCTGCTAGACCAATCCCCCCCCCCAAAAAAAAAAAAAAATTATTTCATCACCTCCTGTGTTTAAAGAATCTATGGTAATTTACTAGTAAACCTAAATCCTTTTCTACCTATTGAGACTTTTTTCTGCCCACATGGCTAGGCTGCTTACCTTATTACCCTTCCTGTATACTATGTTTATCCTGGTGAAGTTACTTTAGTCTTCATAGGACCAGTCTATCTAAGGCACTCTTCTTATCTCTTGATATCCCTTTTTCCTCATAAGCAAACTCCACTCCTTCATGAATCTTCCTAACCTCAGATAGCCTTACTTTTTAAAAAATATATATTTTTTTATTGATTTCAGAGAGGAAGGAAGAGGAAAAGATAGAATTGCCAATGAGAGAGAATCACTGATTGGCTGCCTCCTGCAAGTCCCACACCAGAGATCAAGCCAGTAACCATGGCATGTGTCCCGACCGGGAACCGTGACCTGGTTCACAGGTCGATGCTCAACCACTGAGCTACGCCAGCCAGAAGGAAATCCTTACTTTCTGAATACCAAGGCACTTTTAATGAAATGGCCTTCAAGTTAAATAATAAACGAGATGGGGCTCTGGCCTGTATGGCTCAGTGAATAGAGTGTCAGTCTGGGCACCAAAAGGTCTAGTATTCTAGTTCTATTCCTGGTCAACGACACATACCTGGTTCAATCCCCGGTCCTGGTTGGGGTGCATCGGGGAAGCAGCCAGTCATGTCCCTCTCACATGGGGATGTGTCATTCTTCTCTCTTCCTCTCCCTCCCCTGCTTCTACTCTAAAAAAATCAATGGAAAAAATATCATCGGGTGAGGACTGACCAAAACAAGAGATGGGAACAACAAAGGGAGAAGACCTCTTTCTGAACTAGAAAAATAGAATGTAAGAATTTTGTAGTTGCTAGCATTTACTTTCTTTCTGATTAGTCAGCATCCTCTGGTTTGCCAGCAGGAAAAAAGGGAATGTGAACAGACCTCTGGCAGCTGGGTAGGGTCAGCCCTTGGCTTATGGAACCATCCCAGCCACTCAGTTGGAACAATGTTAACTTTGAAATGAAACAGTAATATAAGGTGATGACTAGCTTATGGAATAATAGGTGAGTCTTCACTTATGTATGATTATTAATATCAGCAACCAAAACATGCTGTTTTCTCCTGATAGTCATTAATGATATCTTAGTAACATGAATATATCACAAGTTCAGTTAATATTAGTAAAGAATACATCAACAATTGATTAGTTTTTATGCATATAGCCAATGAACGACACTCGAAAAAAGCCAATAAAATCAAGTGTTTATAGATAATATATCTAGAATCTGCCATTGGATCAAAAAATCTCCTTTTCCCGAGTGAATTTTTGTTCTAGGGCACAGTTTATCATTCTATATCTAGGAACAGTAAAAGAAATTCTGGGGACTGAAGTTCACCAATTACTCAATATATTTTTACATCACTGATGTCTCAAAACTGGACAAGGTCACAGAGGCAGCTTTGGTCTACTGAGCTATGGGAGCCAAGCACTGGTCGCAGTGAATATGGCCTATGAAGGGATATGTACTGCAGTGACACTGGGTGACATTCCAGATCTATCCATAACAGTGAGTCTGACCTTTTTAAAACAACACACTCCCTTGGGAATCTCTGGAAAATGCATTTAAACTCAATACTGCATATACTTCAGACTCCACAAAACCCATCCAGTGAATTCTTAGGGGTCCAAGCCCCCAGATTAGGAACTATTTATCTAGATTTCTACCATATTCCCACTTATTCCTACTACTGAAGAGTCTGAAACATCCCTTCCCATTTTGCTGCCCAGATTTAGGGCTCCTTAGTAGATGGGTTATATGCGCTGTGAGGTGGTGGTGGTGCAGCCTCATGAGGAATCTATAGTCCTTTATTTATTATTGTCTTTGTTTTTAGTTATTTCAGGGTTGATCCATAGGACTTTGGGTGGGAGGATTAAATTTCTTCTGTTACATGACTCCCAGAGTTGGCCAGAAACAGAGAGAAGACTATATAGCCAAGTGCCCAGTGGAAGAATGTAGCAGGATTGGCAGAGTGTCAGTCTCTCTGCAGTATCTGTTATGTCAGATGAAGGTAACCACCTGGAAGCTGGTAGTGGCTCTTCCCTTTCCCAAGAGACAGAGCTAGCCCTAAAACATAGAAACACCTACAAGGAAGGTCTGGGATTTGAGTAGTTCTCATCACAGAAAACCCCTCTTCCAAGCCTGGTCCTAGGTAAAGTGGCCATTCTGGATCAGACTCAGTGCAGAAGAGGATCCCTTTTGGTTGGACTTCTATTACTCTTGCAGCTCAGTTTCATCTCATCTTTGCTCTGTCACTTCGTGGGTACCAACAGCCTTGGTCAGATATGAAGAAATATTCAATACTATTATTTGCGTTGACTACTCTGCACTAAGATGCCAAGTACAGATGGACTAAAGGTCTTGGCAGTTACTCTTATCTTGCACAGATGATGGTTATAATCCACCTAGTCCCTTAGTTGCACATAGATGTCCATTATCTTTTCATAATCAAGATACCAAATACCTGAACTCATTCCTCAGCTATTACACTTGTCTTCGAGGATCTGAAGACAAAGCAAGACTTTGTGATTACTGCGGATCACTTCTGGAGCTGCCCTGAGTCTGGCTATTTGTGACTTCAAACCACAATTTCCACTGAGAATACAAATCTCACATCACCTATTGACTCAAGACCCCTAAGGGGTCAAGTTGATGTTAAGGATATAAAAAAAGATGCTGCAAATGCCTGTGAGACCAGGTTTCCTGGCAAGCTAGAGCCACCACTAATTCTTCTCGATGATTTCAGGGGACTTGCTCAAGCACAAGCAAGGGACATTCCAGTAGTTAGATGTACACTGCACACAGATAGCACGTGCTGAGAAAACAGGTCGTGCCCTTCAATACAAACCTGCACCCACCAAAAATCCCAGGCTGGCATTTTGGTCCATGCTTCGCATTTTGATTCATGCTTAGCCAATCCCCTCCTACTGTGGGCTTCAGTACAGAGTAGGCTGACAACACTCATTTGAGCTATCCCATCCCAAATCCAAAGCAGCAGCTCATAGCACCCCTCTGCTGCCTCGTATCTTACTCCAAACATGATGGGTGGCTTACACATCTATCCTTTTTTGGGCTTCTCTCTATGTTCCCTCTTCACCTCTATTCTGTCACTTCCAATAGAGCTGGTGTGGGCCTGACCACTCCTACCCAGACAACAGGCAGAGGCTGCCAAATAGATCCTGAGCAAGTGATCATTTAGCACAGCATCTGGATGAGTGTAACCATGGGGAAAACACTGGCAAAAAAAAAAAAAAAAGACAGAATTTCCAAAAGGTAAATTTCTGTGTATTCACGCCTAATCTTCCAAAAGTTGTGTAAATAATTTTATCTACCTTCCCCCATCATTTGCACAATTTTTATCAAGTCCAAACGTAATTTAAAATGAGGTAGGTAGTTTCTCTCTAATCGTGCCTTCATCTTTGTGGCAACTGTTGAGGCCTGTACTTGAAAGCACTAGTCTCCCACTTAGGGGGAGCCACGGGTGGGCAGCAGGGCCTGGTGGAGCTTCTCAGTTGGCTATTTTCTCAATCTCGTCCAAATCATCAGTGTCCAATCTTTCTATTTTCTTATCTGAGAATAAAAAAAAATTCAAAGAGAGATCAACATGGGGTTATATGAAGACAAATACCTAGGGAAAGGACAGCCCTGCAGGGAGAGAAAACACACAGGTCTCTGCCCTGGCTAGGAACAAGCCCTGTCTCTGCCCACATCCACCCTCCAGCTAACCCCAAAGGCTTCTGGTGCCTGAGACACAGATCCTGACAACAACAATCCAAGTCCAAGGCACTCAGCCTGGCCAAGGGGAACTGACATCCAGTCCTAACACTGAACTCCCCAGGTGTGCTCTTTGAGGACATCCCGATTGTAGGGGAAGAGGGGATTGTGCAAAGGGACAAAGCCTCTCTAGGAGCCACAGGATACCTACCCTTCCACCCACCCCCGGACTTGCCCCTATAAGGAAAGGCAGGACATGCCCAGGACTCACTAAAATGGTCCTGGATTCTGTTGAGGATGTTCATGCTGTGCTTGCTGTCCACCATGTTCACTGCCAGGCCCCTCTTGCCAAAGCGGCCAGTGCGCCCGATCCGGTGCAGGTAAGTCTCATTGTCTGGGTTCCCATCCTTGTCCACAGGAAGGTCAAAGTTGATGACAACAGACACCTGTTCAACATCGATACCTGCATGAAGGAGAGATGGGGAAGAGTAAGAATGGGAGACAGGCCATGTACACAACTCTGGGGAGAGGGAGTCAGGGTGGGCCAGCTCAGGGATTCAGGGACCAGGAGCACGGAGCAGAACCCAGAGGAAAACCACAGGGCTTGGCAGGTGCTAAAGAAATTAAGAAGTCAGTAGGAGAGCCTCTGCTAGACACCAGTGTCAGGAGATGCAGCTGAAACCTCATGGCTGCCCCAAGAAGAGCAGGCTCCATTGTAAACCAGTCAGAAGCCTGTGCATTTCCTTCCACCAAGTCAGGACTTGGTTTCCGTGCAAGTTCTTATCTGCCGAGGGAAGCCAGTCTCTCCTAGAAAATAATGTCACCACCAACTGCACGTGACCACTCCCAAACCACTGAGTTCATATATGAGGATTTCTCTTGCTACCCCAAGGCTGGCAGATCAGGACAAGTTCTCTGCTCACCACGGGCACACACGTTGGTGGTCACCAGAACCTTCTCTTTGCCTTCTCGGAAGCGCTCAATCACCGCAGCCCTCTGTTCCACCATCATCTCACCACTTAGCAGAGCCACCTGGTGGCCTTCTTTTGAGAGCTCTGCTGCCAGCCAACTGGCTGTTTTGCGGGTCTGGAGTGAAAAGAATTGTTTTAAATGAAGATACCTGCAAAAAAAAAAATGAAAACACCTGCAGAAAAGTGGCTTTTTGCCATTTATATACATGAAGACCTGAGGCATTCAGCCAGCAGGTTAGACTTAAAATCTTTCAAACAGAATTTAGCCATATAGTTTTTGGATGAATTACTTAAATGAACCCGGTCCTCCTCAGCACCAAGGTGGAACTGGCTGAGAAGGAGGGGGCTGGACACCACCTTCCCATGGAACTCCTCCCCAGGCTGGCCTGCTGCTGCTGCTCCTGCTGCTACTCACATGGCAGAAGATCATGGCCTGAGCAATGGTGATGGCCCCATAGAGGTTACACAAGGCCTGGAACTTCTCGTCTCTGTTATTGCACAGGACGTAATACTGCTTGATGGTGTCCAATGTCTCCTCCTCACGCTTCAGTTTGATAATGTTTGGGTCTGGGACCACTTTCTGGGCAAAGTTCCATACAGAGTCTTCAAAGGTGGCAGAGAAAAGCAGCATCTGGCAGTTCCTGGGCAGCATCCTGCAAGGGAAGGCCCAGGTGTTTGGCATGAGCCCGAGTTTTTCACTGGCATGAGCAGCAGCACAGCCTCCCAGGCTTGGATGGTCAAATATGTCCCCTGGAAGGTGGCAGAGGTGGAGGAGCACTGTGGGGAAGAGGCAGGACCAGACATGGGGCAGGGACAGGGTGGTATTGGATTCCCTAGGTCTTTTTCCTCAACCCAGGTGGGATTATGGTCATTGCTGACATAATCCATCAAACACATACTTCTGAAGCTTCTAAAGCAGAGACCTCAGCAGGAGAGAGAGAAGAGGAGTTGGATATAACAGGTGGAGACATGAAGAAGGTTTTATTTGTAGATCAGGAGACTGAGAAGTTCCTCCTAGATCCAGTGTACTACCTTTGGATGCGGATGCTTTGATCTTGGTGGCCCTGAGTAGCTATCATCACATCAGCCTCATCCAGAACAAACACCTTGATCTTCTTGGGATCAATGAACTTGAGCTTGGAGCACCAGTCTAAGACAGTCCCAGGGGTGCCAATGACAATGTGCTCACTGATCTTCTGACCTCTTTCCACTGTGGAGACAAGATGTTTTACCTAGGTATGTCCCTGGCAAAACCATCTCTCCTTTCTGAGAAATTCTAAAGCTTTGATGTATTTTAGTACAGTTTTTTGATGTTTGCATTAATATTTTAAGGAAAGGTTAGAATATCACTACACACACACAGAAAAGACAATAATGCTGAAAAGATATACTAAGGATATAAACAATGAGAAGATAAAAAAACTTTCTGGTATTCTTTCCCATTTTATATTTCAAAAATCTCTTATCTTTTTAAATTTTTATTGTTAATCCTTATGGGAGAATATTTTTTCCATTTATTTTTAGAGAGAGTGGAAGGGAGGGAGAGAAAGGTAGAGATATATATATATATATGTCAGAAAGACAACTCAACTAATTGCCTCCTGCACATTTCCCAACTGGGATTGGTGACTGAACCTGCAACCAGGTAAATGCCCTTGATTGGGAATTGAACCCTTAAACCTTTGGTGCATAGGCCAATGCTGTAACCATTGAGACACTGGTCAAGGCAAGGACCTGCTATCTTTATTTCTTCTCTGTCAGCAAGTTTCCCCCTAGATGAGGATTGCATTTCCTTATAACAGACATTTTCAAAGTTTTCCTCACTCTAGAGTACTCAGCTCCTTAACTCTTCCAGCATTTATATCAAACAAGTCAGGTGCTTTTACACGCCTCATGCCCAGATCAATAATTAGGGTCCATTATGAAAGATTGTCTTTTCAAACACAATCTACCTCACTTAAAATGATTCCAGATTAGGCCTGGCAGACCATGACATATTCTTGATCCCGCACAGTCTGAAATTGAGAATTTGGTTCTTTATTTTCAATCAGAAGGTACTTCTTGATTCAAATTTTAGCACTTATTTGTATTCTTTACCAGACATAAACAATTTCCCTCTAATCACGGCCAAAATTTTGCCCAAATGTGAATGTTGAATCAATTCAAGGCTAACAAATGCTGCCTCTTTTAAATTTCAGTAAAGAAACAATTATTGCCCCTCACAAAAAAATTATCTAAAATCCTCTGTCAGTCTAACTCAAATCCAAACTGACATTTTAAATAACTTTTCACTAAGTTTTATTATGTTTCTTTTTAGAACTGATTGCACAAAAGGATGTTGTACACAGAGTAGATTTCTGCGAGTCATAAAGTAACAAGTTTGTGTTAAAGACCCATAGGACTCAACTGAACTTCTAAGAAAATTTAAATTACTTAAATATTGTCAGTTTGTTATAAAACAAAGGCAGAAAATATGTATAAGGAATAAAAATAAACTACCAGAGTTAACTGCCATGAACATTCTAGAACATTTTTGTTGTTCTAATGACATCAAAAAGAAGTTAGGTAATTAAATCCAGAACTTGGAATATTTTATAAGCAAAAAGGTGTGTTCAAAAAGTCAAATGTAATGTGAAGCGACTATTCTAGATTAAAAGAAATATAAGGAGATACAATAACCAAATGCAATGTGGACACACTCGCTCGATCTTGGTTGAAAACGAGAGCCATAAGGAAACACTTTTAGGACAATTGAAGTAAAATGAAAAATGACTAGGTATTAGTCATTAGAAAATCTGTTAATATTCTTGTTGTGATAAGGGTATTGTGGATATGCTAAAGAATGTCCTAATCGTGAAATGCATATTAAAGTATCTACACAATAAAAGAGAAACATGCAAATTGACCATACCTCCGCTACGCCCACAAGCCATGTCCACCACCCAATCAGGAGCAAGTATGCAAATTAACCCAACCAAGATGGCTGCGGCCAGAGAGAGAGCAGGAGACTTGGGTTGTCCCCAGCGATGGAGGAAGCCAAGCTTCCTGCCCTGCCCTGGCTGGCCCTGGCCTCCGCTCAAGGCTACAAAGTTTCAATTATAGAAGATAAATAAATCCCAGATACCAGAGCCTCTGCTTGGGTAGCAGGGGAGGGGGTGGTGGTGGTGGTGGTGGTGATAGTGAGCAGCCTGCAAACCACCACAGGCCTCTCGCCCAGGCTGCCCCATGCCCCAAGGTAACCCCCACCCTGATCCGGGACACCCTTCAGGGCAAACCAGCCGGCCCCCAGCCATGCACCAGGCATCTATCCTATCTAATAAAAGTAATATGCATATTGACCATCACTCCAATACACAATATTAAGATGCTGCCCCCATGTGGTCAAAGATGGCTGCCCCTATGTGGACACAAGATGGCCACCACAAGATGGCCAGCAGGGTTAGGGCAGGTCAGTTGGGAAGGACCAGGCCTGCAAGGGAGGGCAGTTGGGGTTGACAAGCCTGCAGGGGAGGAGGGATCCAGGCCTGCAAGGGAGGGTAGTTGGGGGAAACAGGCCTGCAGGGGAGGGGCAGTTAGGGACAATCAGGCTGGCAGGGGAGTGGTTAGGGGGTGATCAGGCTGGCAGGCAGAAGTGGTTAGTAGCAATCAGGAAGGCAGGCAGGCGAACAATTGGGAGCCAGTAGTCCTGGACTGAAGAGGGTACAGGCTGGGCTGAGGGACACACCTCTCCCCTGCCCTGTAAGAATTTCATGTACTGGGCCTCTAGTTAAGAATAAAAAGCCACAAAGTGCAATTTGCTTTCAAATGATTCACCAGAAATATTTATATACACATAAAGTAAATATGGCAAAACATTAAGTTTTCAAATCTAGGGCACACATGTTCATTGTATTATTTTAACTATAAAATTAAAAAAATTACTAGCTTAATGAATTAGGATTACATATTCATACTCACATTTATTGCCTCGAACAGCATAAGCTAGCTTCAGCTCTGGGTAAAATTTGCCCATCTGCTCAATCACTTTTCCCGTTTGAAGGGCAAGTTCATACGTTGGGGAGAGACACAGACACTGGTAGAAAGAGTGCAGAATGAGAAGTCAAGACAATAGCTTTTTTGCAATAGGGAATTACACCAGGATTTAGTTATTCTTCCAGCTAAGGCTGAAGGAAAGGATATATAAAGTATACACCATTTGATTCTGTAAGCTGCAAAGTCACAAGGTAGAATTCTTAGGGGCCAGAACTCTGGCTGGGTAGACACTTGGAAACAGCTACTGGCCAGTAGAGTACCAAAACCTACAAGTGAGCAAGGATCTGAAATTCAAATTGGAGATTAGCTTCCTTTTCACTTTCTCAGAAAGTTCTCAACTCTCTAATGGATGAATAATTGTAGATGAAGGAGGTTTTTCCTGCGAGTAAAGGAGCCAAGCCTATCAGCAGTATCCTGGAATTGGCAAACCATGGAAGAGAATAGGATTCTTGTTACTAGATCAACTATGCTGGTTGTATCCAACGTAAGGAGCTCTATTTTATGTAAAAGGTAATATAAGATATGGCTTTTTACCCATCAAATAGCATTTCCCTTCTAGCTATGCATTAGCAGAAAACCCAAGTTCACTAAGTCCTTACCTGGGGGTATCTGTTTGCAGGTTCTACATGGCTGAGCATGGCCAACACAAAGGCAGCTGTTTTACCAGTACCAGACTGAGACTGGGCAATTAAGTTCTGTGGGCTGCACAAGAAAATGAACTGTTTAGTAAGCTTAAATCTCAAGTATCCTTTCAGTTAGTAAAAATGAATAATGTTTCAAGTTAAAGAAAAGACATCCATCTTGAAGTAATGTTACTATTATGATGCAGAACAAAGAGAACTTTGAGAAAATAAAGACCTAAAATATATATTTTTAGACAAACACTTACTAGACAAACCTCAATCCCACCTCAAATCTACTGAAATCAGAATTGGCATTTTAATAAATTCCTATGAGACTCATAGGCTATGAAAGTGTGAGAAGCACTGCACCATTCTGGTCTGCTAGAACATGTTGTTTTTTGTTTTGTTTTTTAAATATATTTTATTGATTTTACACAGAGAGGAATTGAGAGGGACAGTTAGAAACGTTGATGAGAGAGAGACATCGACCAGCTGCCTCTTGCACACCCCCCACTGGGGATGTGCCCGCAACCAACGTACGTGCCTTTGACCAGAATCAAACCCAGGACCTTTCAGTCCGCAGGCCGACGCTCTATCCACTGAGCCAAACCAGTTTCGGCGAACATGTTTTTTTTACAGTATATTTGACACAATAAACTTTATACTAGTATATCCATATAATAAAATCATGGTGTATATCAGGGGTGTGGAACCTTTTTTTGCCAAGGGCCATTTGGATACTTATAACATCTTTTGTATAACATAAAATTATCACCTTAAAAATTAGCCTGCTGTATTTGGTTATACTTTTAATTAACTCATCCCTAATGTCATGGCAGGGCCAGACCAAATGATCTCATAGGCCTCATACGGACATTTCCCACCCTTGGGCTGTATATGAATGATATAAATGTATATTCCCCAACATAGATGATCATATAAATAAAAATTTTAAAGCATATAAAATTTTACATCTATTTAAAAATATTTATATATATGTAAATGTCTGTCCTGGCCAGTGTGACTCAGTTGATTGGAGCATTGTCACATGCACCAAGGGACTGTGTGTTCAATTCCCAGTCAGGGCACATACTCAGGTTGCAGGTTCGATTCCTGGTTGGGATGAATATGGGAGGCAACCAATCGATGTTTCTCACATCAATGTTTTTCCTCCTCTCTCAAAAAAAAAAGTCCAGTCGTCTCTACTCAAAATATTAATAGTATGTGGAGGAGGGAGATTACAAATGATTTTTTCTTATTTTTTTATTGTTTTCTAACTTGTAAAATGAGCATATATTAATAGTGGAGTTTTATTTTTTTTATTTATTTTTAAAAAAAATATATTTTATTGATTTTTTACGGAGAGGAAGGGAGAGAGATAGAGAGCTAGAAATGTCGATGAGAGAGTAACATTGACCAGCTGCCTCTTGCACACCCCCTACCGGGGATGCGCCCACAACCAAGGTACATGCCCTTGACCGGAATGGAACCCGGGACCTTTCAGTCCGCAGACCGATGCTCTACCACTGAGCCAAACCGGTTTCGGCGTGGAGTTGTTTTAAATAAAAGTTTTAAATGGAAACTTAAAAGCAGGATAGGGTTATGTCAGGACACATACGGCTCAGCAAGCATCAAAGGCAATGCATTTTCTTGTATCTTGGATGGACGGTTGAAGCCCATGGCATAAACTCCCTGGAGAAGTTGTGGTTTCCTAGGAAAACAATGATGCAAGTCAGTCTTGTTGGTTGAGGAAAGAAGCCAAATTTATGGGGAAATTTTTTCTCTTTTTTTTACTGGTGTTACCCACAGCTTAGAACTAACAAACTTGAACTGTGCTGAACTGAGTCCAATGTGTTAAGTACAGATAACATTTTTATAGATTACCTAGAAATTTTACTAAAAAGCTCAAAGCAGCTGCTTTTTAAAAATTAAATTTGTTTAGCTAAAATTTTTCTATATACTATGATGAAAAATATAACAGGTCCAGTATAGCTATCTAAACACAAAGAGGTGAGTGAGAAAGCAAACAAAACAATACTTACAACCGAAGCTCCTCAAAGGACTTCACTGAGTAGAGGGGAGAGTTTGGATCCCGTTGCAGGACTTCCACTTGGTTTGTGTTATCAACAAGGTTGTTTCTGATAAGTTTATTCAGTAAAGACTGGGCAGCTCTGTCCTCTGTCAGGAAAAAGAGCAAATAATTTTAAAAGACTATAAAATCTACCATGAGCTTATCTGAATTTAATTGCCATTGGTATTTTAAGCAGTAATATGTGTTTTTTAAAAAATAATTATTTATTGTTGAAAGTATTACATATATCCCCTTATTTCCCCAATTGACCCCCTCCAGTACTCCCCCACATCCCTCTTATGCAATAATATTTGAACTGGGACTTCCCCACTTTTAAAAAAAGAATACTTTATTTTGATTTTTAGAAAGAGAGGAAGGGAGAGGAAACCTGAAACCCAGGCATGTGTCCTGACCTGGAATTAAACTGGCAACCTTTTGATGCGTGGGATGAAGCCCAACTGAGCCACACCGGCCAGGACTGTACTGGGACATCTAGTTCAAGGTATATCATAGTTTTTACTTATAAATATGATTAATTTGTTTTATTAAAGAGAAAGATTGCCGAAGCTGGTTTGGATCAGTGGTAGAGCATCGGTCTGCGGACTGAAAGGTCCCAGGTTCGATTCCGGTCAAGGGCATGTACATTGGTTGCCGGCACTCCCCGGTAGGGGGTGTGCAAGAGGCAGCTGGTTGATGTTTCCCCCTCTACGTTTCTAGCTCTCTATCTCCCTTCCTCTCTGTAAAAAATGAATAAAATATATATTTTTTAAAAAACAAAAACTAGAGGCCCAATGCACAAAATTGGTGCAAGGGCCTTGGCCCTGGCCCCTGCCCACTGCGGCTTTGTCCGGAGGAAGGACATCTGGAAGGATGTCCAGTCTAATTAGCATATTATGATTTTATTATTACAGATGATTAACTTAATAAATATAATCACAACAATGAAAAAAACAAAATTAAAATCTGTATCTTGACAACATAAGCTGCTTGCATATTGCTAAATGTATTAAAATGTCATTAAGTTTAATTTTATTAGACAATGGCGATGCAACTTAAATGTTGTGTGTTTTTTTTCCCCCAAAGGCAGTAAAATTTATTTTCTAATGCCTTGTAAAATAATAATCATTCTGGGAATATTTCCTGCTGCTGCTGAAGTTCATCAGTTTTCAAAGTAAAATTTCTGTAAAGTGTAAACAATTAGAATTCCTTCACCAACGTCTATATTAACACTGTGATTCCCATTACAGTAAAGCCAAGGTGGGTGTATAAATGAAGCCTCTTAACAATGCATTCTCTTAGGCTGTAGAATCTTAATATGTAGCTCTCAGGCTGTGTTACCTTTCTCTTCTTCGTCTGCCTTCTCTGCATTAGCATTGGTCTTGACAACAGCACCTTTATCAGACACAAAGTGGCATTCAAAATCACATCCCATACCCAAAGCTGAGATAATTCAAATTCTACCAGACACTAGAAATGTAAAGGCCTGAAGAGCAAAAATAAACAGTGAGGAAACCAAGCCACAGATAAAAACATTTTGTTGCTATACAAATAAAGGTATGAAACACTGTAGCTTATATTTTAATCCTTTGTTCCTCTCACCAGATTTCAAAAACTAGTGTTAATTTCCCTCATAGTATCAATATTTATGAAATGATTATAGAATTCATTGATCAGAAATCATCTTGATGCTCAACACCTATGCAAATCAAATTTCATCAATATATGAATACAATGCTATTAAGTCTATGTATATGAATTGTTGATTAATAGAATTGTTAATAGAAATTTATACTCAAACACAGTTGTAGTTTTGTGAAAATACACACAAAACAGATTGTAAGTGAATCCTGTAAGGTAAATGCCACAATTTCTTCCTTATAATATTAAGCACATCAACAAAAATTTAATGGAAATCTTAGATTTTGGGTACATGATTTCAGAATAATTATAATAGGTTAACTCTCAGATTGCTCATATTTTGTCTAGTTCGTCTCAAATTGAGGATTATTTTAAAAAATAACAAATAATCTTAGGCAGTAGTCTCATGGTAATAAATTTAATAATGTATAAACCAATTAGGCATCCTCATGATTATATTAAACACAATATAAACAAAACAATTCAATTTATTGATTTCCAAATCTAATGACTGCTAGTATCTGTCAGACAGTTATGTCAAAACAAAAATACTAGAATAAATCACGTTTGTTTTCCAACTAGCTTTTAGTTACTCACCATTGGCATCTGGTTTTATTTTCTCTTCCTTAAGATGCAAGTTGCTCAACTAAATGAAGAATATAGAGGAGGATGGAAAGTGTCAGGAAGATCAAGTATAAGATTTTAAATCAACAGAGCTTCCCCAGTGTAGCTTGGGAAACATGAGCCACTCTCAAGACCTATTCATTAGATTGTTCTGCTGGGCTCTTTTTGTAATTATAATGCCTACATTTCTAATTACATTCTCTAGAGAAAATGATAATTTATAAGTTTGCTTAATTTTTTTTTTCAAAGACCTCTTCATAGAATATCAGTTGAGTTGTCATGTTCTCATATTCCATACAGAGGAAATTTAGAGAGATTTTGGAAAATGCATCTATAAGTAGGAATCAGTTATGTTACAGGATATGTGTGAGCCACAGGACCATAGCATATGATATGCAGCCTCATTCACATTGAGGTCGCCTTGTGCTGGATGTCTGATATTTTAAACTTGGAACAGCTTGGAGGCTTATTGCATGCTGTGTACTCAAAATACACAGCAGGCTGAAGTAGGAATAGATAGGAAGGTATAGAGCAAAGAGACATTTCAAAGAAAGAATTATAAGGACTTTGATCAGACACTGCAAATTAGGGATATCCTGGCAGGATTTTTCCCCCCTATTAGAATGAAAATACCCTTTAGTTGTCAATCATTCTTCAATAAAGCTGAAAAACAAAATACCTTAAAGCAGGAGGTATTATTAATTGATTTTTGGATATAGCACAAAGCAGGTGCTGTAATCTTAAAATATTAAGTGGTGTCAAAGACAATCTAGTACAGGGTAAAAGTATGAAAATCATAATAAAGGGTATTTCTTAAAGGGTTCTTTATGTCTTGAGGTTCATTTCTGTCTTTCCTCTAAGTGTCAGAAGGGGGAAAGAGGGAGGATTGAAAAAGTTGTTTGTTTTAATGGGTGGTTAGTTAGAAATGGAGGAACTTGTACTAATGGAAACTGAAAAGGGGGTTTCTGGTGTCTGTCTGCTTTGGTGTAGAGGGGAAGAGGAAACACACTAGAGAGCCTGGCAAGAAAGAAAATTGGCCAAAAAAAAATTCATCATAAAGCAGTAAAAATCTTCATAAATTCTGAAGAATAGAGAACACACTAATAGTTAATGAAATGAAGCAGTCAGCACAGTACATAATATATAAATAGTGTAGGCATTCAGTTATTTTAGTCTTCACTAAAGTATTCCTCCTTCACATCCTGTCAATGAACTTAGTGTAAATCTAGCATATTCAGGTCTGTTAAAGAAGAGACAGACTAACTGACTTTTGGCAATATTTAAAGAGTAAGGTTAACAATATTCACACATAGGGTCATAAAGAGCTACTTAAAATAAATGTAAGGGCTGAAGTTTAAATAAGTTAATGAGGTATAAAAGAATTAGAAATATCCATTACTGCAAAGCATTTAAATATTCAGTGGCAAGAGGACAAACTACTATTTTGTTTATAGATTTTTTTCAAATCAAAGTTAAGAGTAAGTAGTTAAAATAGCTAAAATACACTGTGTAGGGTGAGAAAAATAAAGTACAATGTATTGGGAAAGTTGGTAGCAACAATGTAAATGAAACAAATAGATATTTTAATATAAATGTATCAGAATTCTGGAGAGGTTCCAGCAGAATCTAAAAACATAGCCCTCATTTGACTACAAGGATCTCAAAGCCCACAAGGCAAAAACAGCAGCACAAGTTTCTATTATCCACTGCAGTGAGTTAACTGAACACTGAAACTTATGTTGAGAGCAGTTAATCCACCACCCGGCTTCCTGTACCTTGGTTGTATGCTCCTCCCTGCCTGGGCCCAGAAAGCAACCAATTGGTGTGTTTCTTTCACATCAATGATTCTCTGTGTCTTTCCCTCACTCTTGTACTATCCCTAAAAATTAATGGAAAATTATCCTCAGGTGAGGATAAATAAATGATTAAAAAATAAGAAAGATAATAGGATAAAATCCCACCACAATGCTCTAAAAATAGGGTCCCAAGATTCAATTTTGTAAAATTCCAGGTTTTACTGTTGTAAGGTTAAGTAAAATGGCTAGTATATATCTGCTGAAATTTATAGGAGCAAATCATATTATATCTGAATGTTCATTGTCACAAGGGTGTATTATGTGTTTCTGTTCTTTCTTAAAAGATAATTCTATGCCCTAGCTGGTTTGGCTCAGTGGATAGAGCATTGGCCTACGGACTGAAAGGTCCCGGGTTCGATTCCAGTCAAGACTTGTGGGTTTGACCCCCAGTAGAGGGCATGCAGGAGGCAGCTGGTCAATGATTCTCTCTCATCATTGATGTTTCTCTCTGTCTCTTTCCCCTTTCTCCGTACTTCTCTGAAATCAATAAAAATATATTTTAAAAAAGCTAATTCTAACAATGCAAACTCAAGAAAATAAGAAAATGACAAAGCTACCAACTCCTAACAAACTCTTTTAGGCATATTAATAGATTAAGACAATGACAATATAATCTAACCTGAAAAGTTAGTAAAACATTCAAACTATTTGAAATATATATTTATGTTTGCAATGACTAATATGATTTTTCCCTATGCATATATTATACCTTGAGACATTAATGAAAGTACCAGTATAAAGCCAGCAAAAGGAAGCTCAGTAAAATATTTAAAACATTCTTTACTTCAGCTTTTATTACTTTTGTGTATGCTTTATAGTGTACATAATATATTTAGCAAAACAGTACAGTATGCAATATCTAAATATGTATATATTGAGAATGCATGTCCAAAAGTTTCTGACAGAGCCATGTAATATAAAACAAACTATACAGCTTATTTACTCAATTAACAGTGCCAGCCAGGCATGAGAAACTCTGACATGCATAAGCTAAGGGCTACAGTAGAGGAAGGGGATGCCATGATGAGAATGGGACTATTAAATGGAACCAGGCATACTGAGTGCTGAGACCTCCACCTTCTCCTGCCACTCCACTAACACTGGTCAGACCTCTACCCTCCAGGCAGGAAATTTGAGGATCCTCTCTGCAAAATCTAGCCTGACAGGAGGAACAGTCTGAGGACACTAAATGGTATAGCCACTTTGGAAAACAGTGTGGCACTTACTAATTTAAAAAATTGGTGGTGGGCCCTAGCTGATTTGGCTCAATGGATAGAGCATCAGCCTGTGGACTGAAAGGTCCCAGGTTTGATTCCTGTCAGGACACATGCTTGGCTTGCAGACTTGATCCCCAGTGAGAGGCATGCAGGAGGTGGCCTATCTCTCTTATCATTGATGTTTTTTCTCTCTCTCCCTCTCCCTTCCTCTCTAAAATCAATAAAATATTTTTTTTTAAAGTTGGTGGTGGTGGTAACCATTGTTTAAAATTATTTGATTCTGAATTATGTGCATATTACTTATCAGCTATAAAAAATAAGACAAAGTCCTTATTCTCGAATTCAGAGAAAAAAAAGTAAAAGAAGTAGGTTCAAAGCAATATGAGAATTTAGAGTGCCTAGGTGATAGAAATTAGTTCTACATAGTAACATTTAACTCATATCTTGCTTCCTTGGTGTCAGTCCCAGAACAAAGGTAAGCAGATCAGGAGAGGATTTACTGACTGCCAGGCCTACTGAGTGGCTCACTCATTATCACTAAGCAAGCTGAGGAAGCACACAGATATGACTAACCCCTGGATCCTAAACACAAAAACATCAGAATCGGGAGATGGAAAATAACACCTACAAAAGTGATTACAACCTACGGTTTGATGCAATCTATTATCAATACGGATTCCAGGAAGATAGGCAGGTGGCTGGGCTCTTTATAGATGGGCGCACTCACCTGTGTTTACATAACATGGGAGTGGGTAAACAAAGATAGCTCAGGGTTCTTGCCCCATCCCCGCCGGCCGGCGTCCTCTCTGGCCCAGACCAACCTAGGGAGTGTTCGTTCCCATGGAGCTGATCCCCGGCCAAAACTGATTCTGACCCTTTTATGGCTCAAGCCAACTCACCGACTCGGCCGCCGCTTCCTGCTCATCCACCGCCAGGGCCCACGAGTCAGTGGCCATGCTCCTGGGCGCGAGTGGGACGCTGGTGCTAGCGGACTCGCCGGCTGGCACAGCGCGATCGTGGGCTCCCGGGGTCGCGGTGAGCCCGGCTCCCGCCCCACGGAGGGGTAAGTCATTCGCACCGGCGCCGGGACCGGAAGCGGCGCGCCGCAGTGACGTCTAAGTCCGCGTCGGCCCTGGCCCCCTTGGGGCACTCCCTTCTGTCGCCTTCAGACCCCCACCCTCAACCTTGCTTAGCTCACGCTTTCTTTTTTTTACTTATTCTTTTTTAAAATATGTTTTTATTGATTTTAGAGAAGAAGAGACAGGGATTGAAAGATAGAAACATCAATGAGAGAGAAACATTGATTGGCTGCCTCCTGCACACCCCTACAAGGGATGGAGCCTGCTACTGGCACATGTGCCCTAGCCAGGAATGGAACCCATGATCCCTTGATTCATAGATCGAACCTCAACCACTGAGCCACCCCGGCTGGGCTCACACTTTCTTATTTAACAACTAGAACAGAACTGAGGTAGTTATCTTAACGAGGTAGCCTCTTGTCAATTGCCTCTCCAACCGAAAAGCAAAACCACATTTCTGCTCAGGATAGTGGCATAGAAGCGGCTCATACAGATTGAAGATATCGAAACACAAAACCATTACAAATAGTCACCAGCCAAAATCGATTTGGCTCAGTGGATAGAGCGTCAGCCTGTAGACTGAAGGTCCCGAGTTCAATTCCGGTCAAGGGCATGTACCTTGGTTGCGGGCACATCCCCAGTAGGGGGTGTGCAAGAGGCAGCTGATCGATGATTCTCATCGATGTTTCTAACTCTCTATCCCTCTCTCTTCCTCTCTGTAAAAAAAATCAATAAAATATATTAAAAAAACACAAATAGTCAACAAATACATACTGGAGTGGAAGAGTCTTCCTTTCTGTTATGTACACTTGATCCTCTGAAATTTATTTTCCAAGTGCTTGTTTTCCTTTTAAAATTGTATTTCAGACAAACAAGAAAGGGAATAATATAACAAACATCTAGGTTACCTCCTCACAGCTTAAGAAATAAAACAAGACTCCCAAGAGCCGGGACTGGTTTGGCTCAATGGATAGAGCGTCGACTTGGGGACTGAAGGGACCCGGGTTCGATTCCGGTCAGGGGCATGTACCATGGTTGCGGGCATATCCCCAGTAGGGGGTGTGTAAGAGGCAGCTGATCAATGACTCTCATGTTTCTCTCTATCTCTCTCCCTTCCACTCTGTACAAAAATCAATAAAATATATTAAAAAAAAAAAAAAAAGACTCCAAAGAGACAGCAGCTCTCCTGAATTTGGTGCTCATCCTTCCCATAAATGCTTTAAATATATGTTGCTTTCTCTATTAAAAAACAACAGCCTAGCAGAGATGGCTCAGTGGTTCAGCGCAGACACATGCACCAAGAGATCAAGGGTTGGGTTTCCAGTCAGGGCACATACCCGCGTTTCAAACTGGACCCCCAATAGGGGATGTGCAGGAGGCAGCCCATGGGTATTAATGTTTCTATCAATGTTTCTATCTCTCCCTCTCCGTTCTTTTCTCTCTAAAATCAATAAAAACATTTAAAAACAACAACTAAAAATAAGGATTCTAGACTCTTCTACATCCACCTCCCCAAACCTGCATAATATGAGACTCCTACGAAGGAGAAATCTGGTCTCAAAATGAAATGTGGAGAGGACTCAGGAATAAAGAGCATCTAGATTTGAATTCAGCCTCCTGTATTTGACTCCCATGTGGCCTTAGGAAGCCTCTTCTCTGAAATCATCGTAAATACCTATCTCACTGTTCAAGGATCCAATGAGGTCACCAGGGTAAGGCCATCGGTCCAGCGCTGGACCAACAGCAAAGGCTCCATAAATACTAGCTATTACTCGTGCCCCACCCCCAGTGGCGAGGCAAGGAAGATACCTAGATGTTGAAGAGAGGGTCATCCTCTACCCTTTGAAATACTCACATCTCCCACGGGCAGGGAAGCAGAAAGCACCTCAAGGCCTAACCTTGGCCTCGGCCAGCGGCCCCGGCCATCGCGCGGCAGCATGGCCGTTGCCCCCCACCAACGGCTTGCCGAGTTCATTGGCTGCGGCGGAGGACCCGCCAGCCAATCAGTGCGCCAGGTTCCTGCGGGCAAAGGCGGAGACTAGGTTCCAATGGGGTCGCCTTGGTGTGAGTTTTGTCAATTTTCGCTAAATGTACGGCTGCCGGGCTGGACTTGGGGTCTTCCAAGAACAAGGCAGTATCTGCTTTCTTTAATGTTGATCTTCTGGGACGAATGCATAATAGACACTCGTTTGGTGAATAGCTAGTAAGGAATGCACACCCCCTCGGTAGATCAAACTTTTAAATCTTTGTCTCTGAACAAACAGGTCAAAAAGTTCATTCTGGCCGAAACCGGTTTGGCTCAGTGGTAGAGCGTAGGTCTGCGGACTGAAAGGTCCCAGGTTCGATTCCGGTCAAGGGCATGTACATTGGTTGCGGGCACATTCCCGGTTGGGGGTGTGCAAGAGGCAGCTGGTCGATGTTTCTCTCTCATTGACGTTTCTAGCTCTCTATCCCTCTCTCCTCCTCTCTGTAAAAAATCAATAAAATATATATATATTTTTTTAAAAAAAGTTCATTCTGGAGTTTAGACCTTTGCTACTCCAAGTGTGATCCCCAGCAGTACAGCTTTCTCCATGGAGCCTATTAGAAATGGAAAATCCCAGGCCCCACTCCAGACCTATTAAATCAGGATCTACTTTTTAATGTCCCAGCTGATTTCTACACCATCTTTAAAAAAAAAAAAATGTTTGTCTTTTTATAAATATATATATATTTAAAATGTTTGTCTTTTTATAAATATATTTATAAAAAGACAAACATTTTTTTTAAAAAAAAGATGGTGTAGAAATCAGCTGGGACATATATATATATTTATTTTTATTGATTTTGTACAGAGAGGAAGGGAGAGAGATAGAGAGTTAGGAACATCGATGAGAGAAAGTCATCGATCAGCTGCCTCTTGCACACCCCCTACTGGGGATATGCCCGCAACCAAGGTACATGCCCTTGACCGGGATCGAACCCAGGACCCTTCAGTCCCCAAGCCGACACTCTATCCATTGAGCCAAACCGGTCCCGGCTGATTTCTACACCATCTTATGGTCTGAAAGCAACTATTCAGTCACTCCTGTATGATCTGAGAGCAAATAAATGAACATTGTAAGTCCATATTATAGATGCTAAAAGTAACCTAGGTGCTAAGGAAGAATCAGAATCTAGGACCAGTCTTTACAAAACTGAGTATTTTAGTTGAACTACCTTGAGCCCCTATTATCTTCCTCATGCTCCAAGGTGAGGGTCTACCAATATTCAGTTGCAGAGCAAGCTGTGTGTATAGCGTTTACTCTTATAATAGGTCTATTTGCTTAGCCCAGAATAAGAAGTTTCCTAAATATTCAATTCACACGTTGCATTGAAATAGCTTCCCTTCCACTAAGTAGTTGACATCTACTAGAGAAAAATATCATATAGAACTGGGTAATTATCTGAATAATTCATGTAGAAAATTCATGTTTAGGAGAACGTGACTTGTGGACCAAAGGGAGACAGACTCAAACCCTCAGCCAGCAGAGTTCTTGGCTTTGAGCGGGAAAGAATCCAAGAAGCGAGTCAGACAAGAGGTTAAAACAGTTTATTGAGCAGAGAAGATAAGCAAGAAAAGCCATTCCACTGAGAGTAGTGGACTCTCCTCACAAGAGAAAGAAGAGAGACCCCAAGTGTCTCTTGAGCTTGAGCTTCTATCTGTAGTCTCTATGGAAAATTTCTGCCATGGGGAAGTAAGGGGGGGGGGGAGTTGGGATTAGGTTTGACCTTTACAAGGTATATTTTGTGACCTTGTGTATGGGTATGGGATAGATGAGTAGCTATTAATCTTCTCAGGGACTTTGTTCTGGAGGCTCCTCATGGTCTGCTTTCATCTCTGGCCGACTGAGTTCCATGTCAGGCAGCATGTAACAGGCCCCTGACTTAACTTTGTTTGACTTTAGTTAATTATATAATTCTCATGCTCCTCTCCTATATTAAGTGAATACAATTAAAAATATTTTTAATTGGTTTTTTACAGAGAGAAAGGGAGAGGGAGGGAGAGTTAGAAACATCGATGAGAGAAACCTCAATCTCCTCCTGCACACCCCCCCACTGGGGATGTGCCTACAACCAAAGTATATGACCTTGACTGGAATCAAACCTGGGACCCTTAAGTCCGCAGGCCAATGCTCTATCCACTGAGCCAAACTGGTTAGGGCAGTGAATGCAATTTTTAAAAAATTGTCTCTCATTCTTTCATCAGTGTAGGTGCTGTCCTAACAATAACTCTGGCAACATAGCAAAGTTATTGAGATGACAACCTGTATACTTTATTTTACTTTAAAAATGCAATTTGTATAGTTTTATCTTCCATATTCACTGTGTTGGCATGTCAGTCTGACCCATATTACAGATTGTTTAGGGTTAATATGCCTTCTCTTTTGAGACCCATTTGAGTCAGAACAAACACTTGTCTCTTGGTTTTGTTCTTTTAGTGCCTCAGTTGTTAAAAGCAGATAATTTTTTAAAAATCAGATAATAATAGTAACTCATTATAAGGTTATAAGGAGCAAAAGCTTAGATCAGTGCATGTTCAGTAAATGTTAGATATGTTGAAGATTATTGAATTGCTGTGAACTAGAAAGTTAATTCAGGTGATTACAAAAAACACACTGGCTTTTGAGCTTTATCTATTTATATAGGATGCTATATTACATAAAAAGTAACATTTTTCTGACCAGCCCACATGGTTGAATGGTTGAGTTTTGACCTATGAATCAAGAGGTCAAAGTTTGATTACCAGTCAGGACACATGCCAGGGTTGCGGGCTCAATGATTCTCTCTCATCATTGATGTTTCTGCCTCTCTCTCCCTCTCCTTTCCTCACTGAAATTGACAAAAATATCTTTTTAAAAAGTAAAATTTTCCTGCAATATCTTTAACTCTGTTTTGAACAGTAGTACAATTGTATACCAGGGTATTTTGATATATTGGATGCTGTATAGGTTATAGGTTATGGACTTTGGAATTAGAGGTGGGTTTGGATCCTGGCTTGGCACCATATTCTTCAGTGTGAACTTGGGCAAGGCAGTTACCTCATCAGTAAAAATGGCATGGCAGCTGACCAGCCTCATACAGTTTAGAAATTAAATGATCTATATGAAATTATAAGAATACGTTTTTATTGTTCAGAGGGAGAGAGAAACATTGATGAGAAACATCCATTTGCTGACTCCTACACGCCCCTACTGGGGATCTAGCCCCCAGCCTGGCCATGTGCCCTGACCACAAATCCAGTGGGCAACCTCCTGGTGCATGGAATGAAGCTCAACTGAGCCACACCAGCCAGTCACCTCTGTGAAAATTTTAATACAATATACCTCGTACATAAATATTAACTATTGCTTTGCAAAGGCAAGTCAAAGGGCAGATGCGAAATTCAACTATTACATTACTTCTTCCACAACTACATCCAAGGAAGTCTGACAAGGACAAAGGGGTGTATCCGTAAGGCACACGATATCAGAATCTTTCAGGGCTGCATGCCATTCTGTAACCACAATGATCAAAACTACATTATCAAGAGCTGTGACCTGTACCAAACACACGTCACCGTCTCCCCTTATGAACCATGTCAGCTATTAGGACTTTATATGGAAACCAAAACGTCAGCCCTCAGGAGTCCGCACCCTACTCCGTCACGTGACGTGCCCCTTTCCTTCTTTTCCCCGCCGTTGCATCAGCCAATTTAGAGCTGCTTTCCCAGAAACCCGCTGAGAAGCCCGGTTGATTGGCATACTCGTTAACCAATAAAGTCCCGTAGAGGTGAGGTGCGGCGGGGCACTGTCCGTCCGCGCGCTCTGATTGGACGGGGCGCTGCGCGTTGCGGCCGGCGGTGGTTTCTGGCCGTGCATCTGCCCTGTGTGCACCTACAGGTATTCGCGGGCCGCTGGCGGTGGGCATTGGGAGGGAGGGAGGGAGGGAAGGCGATCCTCGGGGGCAGTAGGCAGCCTTGGGGATCTCCCGCGAGGGCGGCAGGCCCGGGGGCCGGGAGCGCAGCGGCCGCAGCGGCTCCTTGGCCAGGCCTCGCCCGGCCTCTGGAGTTGGACCTTGGGCGGGAGCCGGGGTCGGGGCTGCTGCCTTGTGGGCACGACAACCGAGCGCTGGAGTCCACAAGGACCAAGATCTTGGGAAGATCCCGGTTGCCCTTGACTACCCACGCAAAACTGAGGTTTTATTTCTCTTAAGTTTGTATCTCCTAGGGATGAGCGGGACGTTGGGGGTCCAGGGTGACATCTGTATGAACCGTATTAGCTGAATGACCTGATAGTGGTCCAAGCCCCATCATGCTCAGCTATTTCTTTCTCAGACAGTCTGCGTTTCCTGGTGTGCTTTTAAGTTCATTCAGAGTTTGCTCTTAAAGACTTATTAATATCTAGTCATGGAATTGTTAGCGACCACTATACTAGACGCTGAGGACATACCTGTCACGGGGGAGCAAAGGCCAGTCATGGTTTGCACTGGTTTAGAACTTGCAGCCTGATGGGGAGATGGCTTACACAAGCCATCAGATGCATGGAAACTGAAGGAAGATGTCCGGGGCTTTGAGAATGAAATAAGGAGAATCGGATCGACCAGAAGAAGGCTTCCTAAAATAAGTCTCTTTGGAATTAAGATATCAAGCATGAGAAATTAGAAAAAATAGATAGTTGACCTGGCAAACGAAGAGCTTGTTGAAACGTCCTTCAAGACTAGTGTGACTTAGGGTACTCGGGACTCTCCCAGTTCCTGCTAGGAAGTGGAATCTGAGACCCGCCTTTGTATCCCATACCGCCTGCCAGCTTATTTATATTGAGTAGATGAATGGGTGGTGGTGGTGGTGGTGGTGATACTGTTTTTTAATAGTCCCAGGATTTGCCGAAACCGGTTTGGCTCAGTGGATAGAGCGTCAGCCTGTGGACTGAAAGGTCCCGGGTTCGATTCCGGTCAAGGGCATGTACCTGGGTTGCGGGCACATCCCCAGTAGGGGGTGTACAAGAGGTAGCTGATCGATGATTCTCTCTCATCGATGTTTCTAACTCTCTATCCCTCTCCTTTCCTCTCTGTAAAAAATCAATAAAATATATATTTTTAAAAAAATAGTCCCAGGATTTATTGGGATTATTGTTGTCCGATATAGTGGATTCTTTTACATCGTGCTGAGGTTATTTCTCTATATGATTGTCTCCCCATTAAAGACATAGACTCATTCTCCTTGGTTTGTAGGACCAAGGTATGCATTCAGTAAGTTGAATGAAGAAGCAAAAATGGAATGTTCCTGCTTACTTGCCTCAGGTACCCCAGGCAGAGGATGAGCAGTGAACATTGCAAAACAGCTAAAATGGTGCCGCTCAGAATTACCACCGTGAATTCATTTTTGTCACCTTTATTGAGATTCATTGAGAGCAGGAAGAGAAGGGATAAGGAAGAACGTGGTGTGACAGAGTTTCGAGAAACCCCAGCCTTGACATCTTACCGTGGACACAAAGTCCTCATCTGTAGAAATTTCAGTCAGATATTTATTTGGCTCTGTCAACCAGTGTTTCACCATCTTTTTGATCAAAGAGCTTTTGTTTGAATAATGAGTTGATTGAGTTGTGAATTCAATCAATTGAAATTTTGGTTAAAACAAAATCTGAAGAGAGTTTCATGTTCACTGTATACAACCTTAAAATTTTTTTTAAAAAATGTTTTTGTTGATTTTAGAGAGAGGAAGGGAGAGGGGGAGAGAGATAGAAATATCAATGATAACAATCATTGAGATAGGCTGCCTCCTGCCGACCCCCTACTAGGAATCAAGCCTGCAATTCGGGCATGTGCCCCAACCATGACCTCCTGGTTCATGGATCAACACTCAACCACTGGGCACAGTGGATGGGCAACATAGAGGTTTTATTTTTATAAATATATTTTTTTTTATTGATTTCAGAGAGCAAGGGAGAAGGAGAGAGAGATAGAAACATCAATGATGAGAGAAAATCATCGATCAGCTGCCTCCTGCACCCACTCCCCCCCACTGAGGATTGAGCCCACAACCTGAGCATGTGCCCTTGACTGGAATCGAACCTGGGCCCCTTCAGTCTGTAGGTTGACACTCTATACCCACTGAGCCAAACCAGCTAGGGCAACAGACATATTTTAGATCAAACCATTTACCCATGACCTGCTTTGACTTGGCCTGAAGCCAGGAGTCTTATGTAGTGCCTACTTATCTCTTAGTTTTTCCTCATTTTTTTCTTTGGTTATTTTCTGTAGGGTTAACTTTCAAGATGGACTCAACCCTCACAGCAAGTGAAATTCGGCAGCGATTTATAGATTTCTTCAAGAGAAATGAGCACACCTATGTTCACTCATCTGCTACCATCCCATTGGATGACCCCACTTTGCTCTTTGCCAATGCGGGCATGAACCAGGTAAGGCTTTTTCAAAACCCTTCTTCCCGTCCATATAGGAGGCAGCAGAGAGTGATAAAAACAAAGCTCTCAGAGTCCGACAGAATCCCGGATCTGTCACTCACTGTGTGGTCTTGTGGAACTTACTTTATGTCATTGAATAATAATAGTGCTTGCCCTTAGATTGAAGAAAGGAGTACATAAAGCTAATGCATTAAAAATGTTTAACACAGTATTTGAGTAGGTACTCAAATATTAGCTTTTTAAAAATATATATTTATTGGGTTTTTTTGTTTTTTTTTTTTACAGAGAGGAAGGGAGAGGGTTAGAGAGTTGGAAACATCCATGAGAGAGAAACATTGTGATCACCTGCCTCCTGCATATCCCCTAACGGGGATGTGCCTGCAACCAGGACACATGCCCCTGACCGGACTCGAACTTGGGACTTTTCAGTCCGCAGGTGAACGCTCTCTGTCCACTGAGCCAAACTGGTCAGGGCTATTATTTTTAGTTTTGATGAGAAGCCCTGATATCCATAGATAAAACCTGTATGCCACTTAAGAAAAATGCAACTAAAAGTAAAATTGTCAGGCCAAGTCAAAAGAAGGACATGGGTAAGCAGCTACATCCTGTGTTTAGTTTATTAAGTTTTGCTTTTGTTTTCTCCTAAGGAAAAAGCTGTTTTATTACAATCAGAAGCTGGGTTAGCTTTGCTGAGCCCGGAAGAGAGTTGTTAACTGTTGTGATTCTCCTTCATATCTTCATTATCTTTTTTTTTTTTTTTTCTTTATAAAGCAAGCCAGTTCTTCATGATTCTTTTAAAGCTTTGCTTTCATTCTTATTCTAGGACATGCTCAGTTTTATTTGGGTTTTTATAGTCTCTCTCTTTTATTTTTATTTTTATTTTGATTGATTTTGTACAGAGAGGAAGGGAGAGAGATAGAGAATTAGAAACCTCAATGAGAGAGAGGCATCGATCAGCTGCCTCTTGCACACCCCCTACTGGGGATATGCCCATAACCAAGATACATGCCCTTGACTGGGATCGAACCCGGGACCTTTCAGTCCCCAAGCCGACGCTCTATCCATTGAGCCAAACCGGTTTTGGCTCTCTCTCTCTCTCTCTTTTAAATTGATTTCATAGAGAAAAGTAGAGGGAAAGAGATAGAAACATCAATGATGATGCCTGGCCAGTATAGTTTAGTGGTTGAGCCTCATCTATGAACTAGGAGGTCAAGGTTCGGTTTCCAGTCAGGGCACATGCACAGGTTGCAGGCTCCTGGGCATCCAGTGGGGGGTGTGCAGGAGGTAGCTAATCAATGATTTTGTCATCATTGATATTTCTATTTCTCTCTCCATCTCCTTTCCTCTCCGAAATCAATAAAAATATATTTAAAAAGAAGAAGAGACATAATTTTCATTTAAAAAAAAAAAAATAATTACTGCCATAGCCGGTTTGGCTCAGTGGATAGAGTGTTGGCCTGTGACCAAAGGGTTCCAGGTTTGATTCCAGTCTAGGGCACATACCTCGGTTGCAGGCTCCTCCCTGGCCTAGACCCTGGTCAGGGCACATGCAGCAATCAACAGATTGATATGTTTCTCTCATATCAATGTTTCTCTCTATCGTTCCTTCTCCCACTCTCTCTAAAAATCAATGGAAAACTATCCTTGGGTGAGGATTTAAAAATATATATAATTACTAATTATTTCATTTTAATTCATTCAGTTTTACATATTCACAAGTGGCTGGTAGTTACCACATTGGAGAGGTCTAGTGGGAAAAATAAGGCAGAGTTACACGTATAACAATGGTGTACCATAGCAAGGTGATACTGTCTCCCTACACATCCAGTCATGTTGATTTTACTCCCTTAATGAAGGTCGCAATTTTTTTTCTTCCTTCTCACCTTTACTACCAAGCCGGTATATCGCTTTTATTTTTTAATTTTTTAAAATATATTTTTTATTGATTTCAGAGAAGAGAGAGATAGAGAGAATCATTGATCAGCTGCTTCCTGCATTCCCCCTACTGCGGATGGAGCCTATAATGAGCATGTGCCCTTGACCGGAATCGAACCTGGGACCCTCAATCCACAGGCTGACACTCTGTCCACTGAGCCAAACCGGCTAGGGCGCCAGTACATTGCTTTTCGAATAAGTTCTTCCAGAAAGATGATATAAACCCTGACTGTCAGATTTGCAAGGAAGCACACATTTCAGCTTTGGCTATTACCTTGGATCTGGCAGGCCTTTCTCCTGCACAGGTTATGTCACTGGTGGGGACCATGAGAGAACTAGAATCGGGATAAAGCTGCTCCAGGATAGGTTGCCTCTGCTGTAGCCTCACAGGGCCACCTGCCTCTGAATAGAAATTTCTCTATTCCTGGCTAATTAAATCACAAACTGAACAGTCTTCCTGTCAGTCTGTGGCCACCTATTCTACCTACCGCTCTTTAGAAATTGAAATGTGCCCTTCTTTTTTTCAGTTCAAACCCATCTTCCTGAACACTATTGATCCGTCTCACCCCATGGCAAAGCTGAGCAGAGCTGCCAATACCCAGAAATGCATCCGGGCTGGGGGCAAACACAACGACCTGGACGACGTGGGCAAGGATGTCTATCATCACACCTTCTTTGAGATGTTGGGCTCCTGGTCTTTTGGAGATTACTTCAAGGTAAGATCAAAGCAGGACATCTGTTGAGGTTTTGAGCAAAATAGTCATTACTACTGAGGGAAGCGGATTTTAATTTTGCTTGTTTAGAGTATGAAATATCACATAGGGAATAAATCTTCTAAATGATGATATTTTTAAGACTTCCTTGTGGCAATACTTATAACTTGTTGATTATAGTTCACATTTGGATTTCTTGCATAAATCACTAATCAATCCTGAATTCTGTTGAGTTTACTTACTTATTTTAAAAAATATATTTTTATATTTCAGAGAGGAAGGGAGAGAGATAGAAACATCATTGATGAGAGAGGATCGTTGATCAGCTGCCTCCTGAACACCCCACATTGGGGATCAAACACGCAACCCAGGCATGTGCCTTGACCAGGAATTGGAACCATGACCTCCTAGTTCATAGGTCAATGTTCAACCACTGAACCATGCTGGCCGGGTATCTGCTGAGTATATAATGAAGATATTATCGTTTTCTATCCGCATTCTTAGGATCTGAACTTTTTGTCCTCATACTAGAATAGTAGAATAAACCAAACACTGGCTTGTTCATGTTCCACATCTTCCTTTTTGTTCCTTTTCATAGGAATTGGCATGTAAGATGGCTCTGGAACTTCTCACCCAAGAGTTCGGCATTCCGGTGGAAAGACTTTATGTTACTTACTTTGGTGGGGATGAAGCAGCTGGCTTAGAACCGGACTTGGAGTGCAAACAGATCTGGCAAAACTTGGGGTAAGACTGCAACTCACATTTGAAGGGAATGGAGGAGTAAAGTGATTGGTGCAGAGTAGGCTTTTAGGACTTGGAGTGCATTGCCATTTCCCATGTCACGATGGAAGTGCGGTGACTGGGTAATTATCCTTTGGTACGCACATTGTTTCTTAGCAGGTTTGATTGGTCATTCTATTTTAGAAAGCCAACATAAAGAGTCATATATATATTTTTCAATGTATGCCTTTAAAGTCATATTTTTAAATTTTTGTATATTTTTAGAAATTGTGCATATAATTCATGTGTTGTAAAAATCCAAACTACATAGAAATGTAAACACAGGAATTAGAATATTTCTAAGATTAACCATTGTTAATAGTTTGCTATCCCATATATACTCTTGCAGGCCTTTTTCATATTTCTGTAGCCCTATGTGAATCTTTTTCAACAAAGTGATATTCTTAATATGAAACAGTTTATTTCTTATGGAAATGTAATGGCATCAAACAGGTCTAGGACAGGAAGTTGTTTTTATTTTTGTTTTTTATTTGGGGATGTGGACTGAGGAGAGGTCAGACCTTGGATAGGGATGCAGGAGAGGAGTAGTAGGAGCCATCTGGGTTTTTGTTTTTGTTTTTTACAACTTTTTTGGGGCATAGAGCTTTTTTTTTTTTTTTTAATATATTTTTTATTGATTTTTTAAAATATATATTTTATTGATTTTTGTACAGAGAGGAAGGGAGAGAGATAGAGAGTTAGAAACATCGATGAGAGAGAGAGTCATCGATCAGCTGCCTCTTGCACACCCCCTACTGGGGATATGCCCGCAACCAAGGTACATGCCCTTGACCGGAATCGAACAAGGGACCTTTCAGTCCCCAAGCCGAAGCTCTATCCATTGAGCCAAACCGGTTTTGGCTTTTTATTGATTTTTTTACAGAGAGGAAAGGAGAGAGATAGAGAGCTAGAAACGACGATGAGAGAGAAATGTCAACCAGCTGCCTCTTGCACACCCCTTACTGGGGATGTGCCCGCAATCAATGTACATGCCCTTGACCGGAATCGAACCTGGGACCCTTCAGTCCGCAGACCAATGCTCTACCACTGAGCCAAACTGGTTTCGGCAACCATCTGGGTTTTTAAAAATGTAATGTAATTGTAATGTAAAATCATGTAGCTTAAAAGGTACATGATAGATGAGCTCTATGTGTCCTGTGCTTTGGACTGAATAGAATCTGTGAAGTGCTGTATCACAAGGAATCTGTGGAGCGATGGACCCTGTAGACAGCTGGAGTGCCCATGGTGTCCTTGTCTCATCTTCCATTTTTGGTTGTTTTGTTGTCTCTTCTTGTTCTTTTTACTGAACTCTGTTCTTTAGTACGTAACTTTTTAAAAAAAAATACTATGGCCGAAACCGGTTTGGCTCAGTGATAGAGCGTCGGTCTGCGACTGAAAGGTCCCGGGTTCCATTCCGGTCAAGGGCATGTACCCTGGTTGCGGGCACATCCCTGGTAGGGGGTGTGTAAGAGGCAGCTGGTCGATGTTTCTCTCTCATCGACGTTTCTAGCTCTCTCTCTCCCTTCCTCTCTGTAAAAAATCAATAAAATATATATTTTTAAAAAAATACTATGTGTGGCCTTAAGCTAATATCTTTTTTTTTTCTTTTAAATCCTCACCCGAGGATATTTTTCTTTTTCTTTTTTTTTACATTTTTTTATTGATTTTAGAGAAGAAGGGAGAGGGAGAGAGAGATAGAAACATCAATTATGAGAGAGATTCATTTATTGATCGGCAGCCTCCTGCACGCCGCTTACTGTGGATCGAGCTCACAACCCAGACATGTGCCCTTGACTGGAATCAAACCTGGGACCCCTCAGTCTGCAGGCCGACACTCTCTACACTGAGCCAAACCAGCCTATCTTTTTAAAAAAATATATTTTTTTATTGATTTCAGAAAGAGGAAGGGAAAAGGAAAGAGATAGAAACATCAATGATGAGAGAAGCATTGATTGGTCACCTGTGCACTCCCCCTACTGGGAATTGAGCCCACAAACTGGGCATGTGCCCTGACCAGGAATTGAACCTAGACTTCTGGTTCATAAGCCACACCAGCTGGGCTAGTGTATAACTTTTTAGTAACGTAAGCAATGCTGTCTTTCTTTTCTTTTTTAACTTTTACTTCAGATATATTATTCCATCCAGCTTCCCCTTGTACTTGGCCTGAAATTCCTACGTAGTTAGACTCCGTAGTACTTGAACATTTTGGGCAGTAACATATGTGAAACTTAAATAATAACCTTGACTTTTTGAGTCCTGTTTTACTTGGCTTTCTCTGTGTCTGTGCTTTGTTTATTAAGTAAGCACAATCTTTTTGGATTGCTTTATTATCCAACAACTTTCAGCAGTTAGCTATTTTTGAAATGTTTTAATCTTATTAGATTCTTTTTGGTATCATTTTAAGGTAAAATGTAGATGACTAAATTGGGGTGTTTAGCGGTAACTTTAATCAGCAGGTTTTTTTTGTTTTTGTTTTTAACACTTCTGTCATATAGTCATTTTTTAAAATGAAGAACCATTTGTTAAGAAAATATTTGCTTAAATTTAGGTGGTATGCAGCATAAATGTTTCCATTTTTAATGTGTTCCTTTCTAGGTGTTATCCGTATCTTAGAATACTTTTATTTATTTATGTTTGGAGCATAAGTATATTTTGTATTCTATTGTTATCAGTCTTGAGAAGAATCATGTTCTGCCTTTTTAGCAGGGTCTGTATGTAGGCTTGGCATTAGTAATTGCCGGAGAGTGGTCCATCTTTGTAGAAATTTATAAGGATCTCTTTTTACAGTAGATGCAAGTCTGTGCTAAATCCTGTCCGTGGTTATAACTAGGCTTATCCTCCCCACTGTGTACAGGGTGGATGACGCTAAAATCCTCCCCGGCAACATGAAGGATAACTTCTGGGAGATGGGTGACACAGGCCCATGTGGTCCCTGCAGTGAGATCCACTATGACCGGGTCGGAGGTCGGGATGCTGCACATCTTGTCAACCAGGATGACCCCAACGTGCTGGAGATCTGGAACCTCGTGTTCATCCAATATAACAGGTGGCCATATATACTGAGATACCCATATATACTCTTCCAGGCTTTTCTCATATATCTATAGCCCTGTGTGCTTCTTTTTCCACAGGGTGGTATTCTTCATATGAAAGTTTATTTCTTAGGGAAGTGTAATGGCGTCAAACAGGTCTAGGACAAAGGAAGTTTGGGTTTTTGTTTTTATGTCCTCGAGCTGCACAGAGAAAGAGGAATCAGGCAGGTAGCTGTCTTCTCATCCTGGTCTCTGGGGACCGGGGCAGTGCTAAAGCAGGCACTGAAGACATCAGAGCATCTTGTGGCACACTCTTTTATTTCTCAAGTTTTCCCTCTGATCTCTGGGTCAGAGCTGGGGCTATTCTTTTATAAATGAGTTTTATTCCCCATGATATCTTCTTACCCAAGAATAATTTTTTCCATTGATTTTTTTTTTTTTTTTTTTTTTAAGAGAGAGGAAGGGACGGGGAGAAACAGAGAGAGAGAAACATCTATGTAAGAGAGACATATCGATTAGTTGCCTCCCATCCACACCCCAATTGGGACTGGGGATAGAGCCTGCAACTGAGGTACATGCCCTTGACTGGAATCAAACCCAAGACGCTTCAGTCCGTGGGCCAATGCTCTACTGAGCCAAACCTACTAGGCCTAGACTGTTATTTTATTTTTTTATATATTTTATTGATTTTTTCAGAGAGAGGGATAGAGAGCTAGAAACATTAATGAGAGAGAATCATCGACCAGCTGCCTCCTGCACACCCCCCACCGGGGATGTGCTCACAACCAACTCACACGCCCTTGACCAGAATCGAACCTGGGACCTTTCAGTCCGCAGGCCGACACTCTATCCACTGAGCCAAACCGGTCTCGACTATTTTATTTTTAAAAAAATATATTTTATTGATTTTCTACAGAGAGGAAGAGAGAGGGATAGAGAGTTAGAAACATTGATGAGAGAGAGTCATCGATCAGCTGCCTCCCACACAACCCATACTGGGGATGTGCCCGCAACCAAGGTACATGCCCCTGACCGGAATCGAACCTGGGACCTTCAGTTCACAGGCGGACGCTCTATCCACTGAGCCAAACCGGTTCCAGCTAGACTGTTATTTTAAAGCTTAATTTTTTTTGAAACTTTGCCTCCCTTCTAAATGGACCCCAGAATACTTCTTATCTTTCTCCCTTCACTTCCCTCCTCCCACCAAATCAGGCAAGGTCAAATGACAAGTCCTGATCTACAAGCTGCTGTGTAAATAAGTTTTAATTGACCTGGAGAGGTCTGAGTCCTCGTTTCAACTTCCCTTTTCTCTGATCATGCAGGGAAACCGATGGAACTCTGAAACCTCTTCCTAAGAAAAGTATTGACACAGGGATGGGCCTGGAGCGACTGGTGTCTGTGCTGCAGAATAAGATGTCCAACTACGACACTGACCTCTTTGTCCCTTACTTTGAAGCCATTCAGAAGGTATTGGTCCTTTTACAAACACTGCCAGCTTGTATGGAAGTTTTCAGGTGGGGCTCTTAGCAGTGCTGTTTAAAGTAGAATAACCAGATGCTTTGCCAGCTGAGGGTCTTGTGACCCTCTGCCATCTTTACTGCTAATAACACAAGGTTCTGGGCACAAGGCACTAGAATGTGTGGAGAGCAAGGGACTGGCTGGAGGCTCTTTAGCCCAATTGCTCTCACCTTTCTTGGCAAGATGATTTTCTTCCTCCGAATGCCCCTCAGTCCTCTCGGAACCTCTTAGGGCAAGGCAAGGCCAGAAAGGCTGTTTCCTCATGTGCTGCCTCCTGGATTTTATCTGTAGGGCACAGGTGCCCGGCCATACACTGGGAAAGTTGGTGCTGATGATGCTGATGGGATTGACATGGCCTACCGGGTGCTGGCTGATCATGCTCGGACCATCACTGTGGCTCTAGCCGATGGCGGCCGACCTGACAACACAGGGCGGGGGTACGTTACACTTGGGGCCATGCTAGGACTCTGTGGAACTTAAAGCTATGTTTTGTTATTGTTTCTTTGTCTTCTAGGTAATTGGAGGGAAACTTTATTCGTTAAGAGATGAACTGAGTTTCAGATCACAGTAAAGAGTTGTCTCTTTATTAATTCTTTGCATAAGTACAGAGGATATGGATTGATAGAATATTGGCAGCAGTGGGGTAGGGTAGGTCTTGACTAGCTCCAGGCAACTTCTTTACTGACAGGCAGGGCCTGGGATGGGGGAATCATGTCCACCATTTGGTCTGTACTTGCCTTCATCTCTGGGGGCAAGAAAACAAACTACGATAACCCCAGGTCATCCTTGATGCACATTTGTGGATATGTTACTGAGTTTTGTGTTGAAATTCATGTTAATGACCTTGGGGAATGCAAAGAGAAGCAATCATAGGATAAAAGAAAGTCCTTGAAAGAGAAAGACAAAAAGTTGGTCATCTTGCTTTGGGTCGAATTCCAAAGAACTTCTACAAAATATTCAGCTGGGAACATACCTAACGGGGGACTGGGTTCTGCCTCTTATAGGTATGTGTTGAGACGGATTCTCCGCCGGGCAGTGCGATACTCCCATGAGAAACTCAATGCCAGCAAGGGTTTCTTTGCTACATTAGTAGACGTTGTTGTCCAGTCCCTGGTAGGTCTATTTCCCTGTTTGCTTCTTTTACACAAAGCACATACCTTGAGGGGGCTTGGGAGGGAGGGAGCATACTGTTAATGAGCTTTTTTAGAGGGGGTCATGGAATAGTCCCTGGCTTCACTGGGTCCTCATTTGTTTCCCCTCTGCCAGGGAGATGCATTTCCTGAACTAAAGAAGGACCCAGATATGGTGAAGGACATCATTAATGAAGAGGAAGTGCAGTTTCTCAAGACTCTCAGCAGAGGGCGTCGCATACTGGACAGGAAAATTCAGAGCCTGGGAGACAGCAAGACCATTCCCGGTGAGGACCAGTTTAGTTTTCTCCAACTAGGCTGTTTCATCTTCCTGGAAGAGGCAAGCCCTTTTTTCACAAACTGACAGGGAACTCTCATGCCTCCAGAGTTGAGCATAGCTTGGTTAGAAGCTTGTGGTATAAAATGGAGTTTATATTAAAATTTAAAATACATTATGATGATAAAGTATTCAAACAACATAAATATAAAAGTGAAAATCCTTTCCCCAAACATATTTCTCAGAGGTTACAGCTCTTAAGAGCTGGATGTACTCGGGATGTTTCTCTATTTGTATACAAGTGTGTGTGTGTGTGTGTGTGTGTGTGTGTGTGTGTTTTCCAGCAAAATTGGGAACAGATAATTCTGATTTTTGAAAATTGCTTTATTTGCCAGAACCGGTTTGGTTTGGCTCAGTGGATAGAGCATCGGCCTGCAGACTGAAAGGTCCCAGGTTCGATTCTGGTCAAGGGCATGTACCTTGGTTGCGGGCACATCCCCAATAGGGGTGTGCAAGAGGCAGCTGATTGATGATTCTCTCTCATGGATGTTTCTAACTCTCTATTCCTCTCTCTTCCTCTCTGTAAAAAATCAATAAAATATATTTAAAAAAAAAAAAAAAGATGATCAATATTTAAAAAAGAAAAAAAGAAATTTGCTTTATTTTTTACCAGACAGTACAAATCAATTCTGAAAGTTTTTTCTTTTTGAAATCCTATATAATAAAGATGTAATATGCAAATTGACTGTCATGGCCTCACAAGATGGCTGCCTACAACCAGGCTGGTAGAAGGGTTAGTGAGGGACAACCAAATGATTGAACAAGCAGGTTGCATGGGATGACCAGGTCGGCAGGGGCGTTAGTGAGGGATGACCAAATGACTGAACAGCAGGCTGTGTGGGGTGACCAGGTTGGCAGGGGTGACCAAACTACATGGGGTGACCAGGCGGGGGAGGGGAGGGGAGTAAGGGGTGACCAGCTTGGGGGGTGGGGCAGTTAGGGGTGACCAGACCGGCAGGGGAAGCAATTAGGGGTGATCAGGCTGACATGCAAGATAGTGAGGGGCAATCAGGTCAGCAGGGGGGGGCAGTTAGGAGTCACCAGGCAGGCAGACAGGTGAACGATTAAGAGCCAGCAGTCTAGGATTGCGAGAGGGATGTCCTACTGCTGGTTTAGGCTCTATCCCTAGGATGGGGCCAAAACCGGCAGTCAGACCCCCAAGTGGTCCCAGATTGGAGAGGGTGCAGGCTGGGCTGAAGGGGACACCCCCCCCCCCCCAGCGCATGAATTTCGTGCACCGGGCCTCTAGTATAATATAATTTACAGAAGGAAAGGCTGATGAATTTCACAAACTGAACACACTTGTTTAGATTAAGAAACAACTTCACTAGAGACCTCTCGTGCTTCCTTCAAGTCATTTCCAAAAGATTTGATGGCTTTTGTGACAAGTGCATAGACCCAATACTCACCTCATCTCTTTAATCCCTGGTCACTGTCAGCGTCCTCCTGGGAAGGACTTGGGGGGGAAAAGGCAGAGGCCATCCACAGTACTTGACACAATTACTTTGTGCTGTGTAGGGGACACTGCGTGGCTTCTCTATGACACCTATGGCTTCCCCGTGGATCTCACTGGTCTGATTGCTGAAGAGAAGGGCCTGCTGGTAGATATGGACGGCTTTGAAGAGGAGAGGAAACTGGCCCAGGTAAAGAATTTGGGGAGTGAGCAGGAGACCCAGCACCTACCAAGGCAGAACTTGGCTGCAAAGCAAGCAAGAGTTTCCTTTTATTAAAATCTTTGAAATCCCATTTTCCCTAGACCGGTGGGTCTCAGCTGGGAGCATTTTGGCACCCCAGGGGGCAGTTGGCAATAATGTCTGAACATATTTTGGGTTCACACAACAGGGGGCATGCTACTCGCATCTAGTGGATGGAGACCAGAGGTGCTGCTCACACCCTATAGTGCACAGGGCGGCCCCACAACAAAGAATTACCTGCTGAGATTGAGAACCCTGAACTAGAGTTTTACATTGGACACAGTTGAGCAGTTTGGAGTTCTACATTAGAGTAACTATGCTTGCTTCTCTTACTGGCAGCTGAAATCACAGGGCAAGGGAGCTGGAGGGGAAGACCACATTATGCTGGACATCTATGCTATTGAAGAGCTTCGGGGCAAGAGTCTGGAGGCAACAGATGACTCTCCAAAGTACAGTTACCTTTCGGACTCCAGTGGGAGCTACGGTATGTTACTGAGCTCATTTGGGCGTTTGCAAGAGAGGCGAGGGTGTCTGTGGTAGCCTCAGTGCAGTAAGGTCATGCTGTGTAATTTCATACTCAGAGACTCTTGGTTGATTTTCTTAACTCTTTTGAAGTAATTCTAGATCCATAGTGAGTGTTTTGTTCTTAAGTTTACAGGGCGATTCCTTATACTCCTCACCCAGTTGCCTGTCATTGTAACATCGGATAAGAAATCAGGAAACGGACATTATATGATTCACAGTGGCTGTTGAGTTTTGCATTGGGGATAGTAATATTCTAAGATATGAAAAATCAAACAGGCACTACACGCTTTTCCCCCTTTTGCTCCAGCAGAGATATCTAAATCTACCCAAGCAAGCTCACAAAAGAGTATATTCTTTGTGAATTGACCTTGAAGTAGGGAATTTATTACTGCTGTTAAAGAACTCCTAATCACATTCACCACGTTTCTGCTCAGTAGCTGAGTTAGGGTGACCAGCTGCCCCAGTTTCCCCAGAACTGCCTCAGTGCTGACACTGAAAGTCTCACATCCCAGGAAACCCTTGGGTCCAAGCACACCAGGACAGTTTGGACGCCCCGTGAGTGCTGCATTCTCTGGTGGGGAGCCAGTGTGTTAAGCCTTTTCGTGGAGTCTAGTGGAGCTTGCTTTCAAACAAAATTATATAATCAGGCCCTTGGAGACTTTGAGAAATAGAATGCAGCAAAAGCCTGGTAAGAATGTGTGGCCGAGGTCATTGACCCCGTTCCCCTCCCCTGCAGCGTTTGAGAGCGCAGTGGCTACAGTGATGGCTCTGCGCAGGGATAAGATGTTCGTGGAGGAGGTGTCCACGGGCCAGGAGTGTGGAGTGGTGCTGGACAAGACCTGCTTCTATGCCGAGCAAGGAGGGCAGATCTACGATGAAGGCTACCTGGTGAAGGTCGATGACAGCAGTGAAGACGTGAGCCAACATGCATGCTTCATTGTTAGCCAGAGAGGGGGTCTGACAAAGGGCAGGCCTGGTCTGGGGCAGCTTTGCTGGCCTTGGGGAGCAGACCCAGTTTTGGGTTGTGTTCCAGTCTGCATTTCCGAAGCTGAGGGAGCTGCCTACTGCTCCATGTTGCTGTCATAGCCATTAGGTCCCCTTGTAGCAGGGTCCTTGCAGCCAGATGCATGGGTTGATCCTCGGTTCCTCTGTGCTTTCCTCATAAATAGGGAAAGGCAGCTTTCGGAGGGGCAGCATCCTTGTCAGAGTCTCAGCCTTTAGCTCTGCCACTGCTGACTGTGGTCTTGGATGAGTGACCTAATCAAATATGTGTCCATATATAAAATGGCGTGTGCACATAATGTAAATATGTACATAATGGTGCATGTGTATGTATAGATAATAAACATGTCGCATTAATGGTGTATAAGTATATACATGCATGCCAGTGAAGAATGTCTTAGAGAATGTGTGTATGTGTAATTTGTATCTGTAAAGAGAATTTATATACATTTGTTGGTTTATTTATTGGTCTCCTCCTTGACTGCCTTCAGAAAACTGAGTTTACAGTGAAGAACACTCAGGTGCGAGGAGGGTATGTGCTACACATAGGAACGATCTACGGCAACCTGAAAGTGGGAGATCAAGTCCGACTGTTTATTGATGAGGTGAGTTGAATTATATTGATATAATTCAATCTGGTTCGTATTCACCTCTTTTTTTTTTTAATTTTAACTTATTGATTTTAGAAAGACACACAGAGAAACATCAATTTGTTGTTCCACTTATTTCTGCATCGATTGGTTGATTCTTATATGTGCCCTGACCAGGAAATGCAACCTTAGCATTTTGGGATCATGCTCTAACCTGAGGTACCTGGCCAGAGCATTTTTTTAAATTTTTATTCAGCTTTGTTGAGGTATAATTGAAATGTAAAATGATAAGGTATTTTAAAGTTCAGTCATACGCCACTTAACAATGGAGATATATTCTGGGAAATGCGTCATTAGGTGATTTCATCATTGTGCAAACAGCATAGAGTGCACTTACACAAGTCTAGATGTTATGGCCTCCTACGTGCTAGGCTGCATGGTATATCACCGTTGTACATGTGGCCTGTCATTGACTGAAACATCGTTGTGCAGCACGTGACTGTACATCACAGTGATTTGGTGTATTTACTATTCACCTCCTCCAATAAATTGGTCCATAATTGTAAGGGATGAATCTGAAAGTTAAATTTATATATATATATGCTCCCATATCAGACCACAGTGATTTCCATTGTGATCCTATAGACTTGTTTTCATGAATTGCCTTTCTCCAGGTTAACTTCAAATACTTCTTCAAGACCCAAAGATCCTGTATTAATTAAGAAATAGATTTTAGCCCTAGCATGTACCTCAGTTGCAGCTTTCATCCCCAGCCCCAGTTTGGGCTCATGCAAGAAGCAACCAATCAATTCTCATTCCTCCCTCTCTCTCTCTGTCTTCCCTTCTCCCTAAAAATCAATGGGAAAAAATATTCCTTGGATAACGATTAACAACAAAAGAAATAGATTCTATTGTATGTGACGAAGCTCCAAAATAACAGTAACTTTAAATAAGATAGAAATGTGTTTCCCACCTAAAAGTCCAGGCATAGAGGCTGTGCCCCACAAAGTTATTGGGTCCAGCTTTTCCTTGATTGTTTCTTTGCCATCATTCCTGGGGTGTTGCCCTTGATTTCATGGTCCACAAAGGTAGCCATCAGATTAATATTCTAGGTCAGGGATCGGCACTGTTTTTGGAAAAGGCCAGATGGTAAATACATTTTGGGACATAACAATCTCTATCACAATTGCTCAACTCTCGTTGAGGCACAAAAGCACCATAGATGATATGTGCACATATGAGTGTGGCTGTATTCATAAACCTCTTTATAAAAACGGTGACAGGCCAGATTTGGCTCATAGGCCATGGTTTACCAACTCCTGTTCCAGGCAGGGGGATAGCATGCCCTTTCCCGTTAAGGGTATGCTTACAGCTCATTGACCGGAACTTACCACATGGCTACACTTAGCTGCAAGAGAAGCTAGGCTATGGAGTCTTTATTCTGGGCAGCCATGTGTCCAGCTAAAAATTACAGTACTTGGGAAGATGGGGATGGCAAGTATTGGGGGACAACCAGCAGTCTGTTGCAGATCCCTCCACCAGCCGCCTCTCTTTACAGCCCCGACGTAGACCTGTCATGAGCAACCATACAGCCACCCACATTCTGAACTTCGCCCTGCGCTCCGTGCTTGGGGAAGCTGACCAGAGAGGCTCCCTGGTTGCCCCGGACCGCCTTCGGTTTGACTTCACTGCCAAGGGAGCTATGTCCACCCAGCAGATCAAGAAGGCTGAGCAGATTGTTAACGAGATGATTGAGGCCGCCAAGGTAGGCTGGATAGTGCGTGAGCTCTTGGGGCATGAACCTCACTCCTTCCTGCACCCGCACTTTCTGTCCACAGAGTGTCAGCCCACATGCTCTCGCTCCATCCTACCATATTCGGTCCTGCACGCAGATTTGCTTAAAGCAGTGATTCTCAGACTGTGTGCTCAGTGGGGGCAGTGCCGGTGCTCAGCAGAGGGTCTGAGGGCCTCTGGGGAGCTGCTGAGAGAGGTCTTTGCTCCACTCCCTGTTTAGGACAATCAGAGCCTCTCTAGGTATGTCTGCTCTACAGAAAGCACAGCCATGTAAGATTTGGTTCACAATCTAACAAAACATTCTTGGAAATTTCTATTTTGATTTCCTCGACTATACATAGCACCTTCTTTCAGGAGGCTGCGGCACATAAGGGGCAGAGCCAGGATTAGACACCCCCGAGCCCTGCCCGCAGGACCACACTCGCTCTAGTGCTCCCTGCTGACTGCCAGAGACATTTCCAAGCCTCTGTTCTGCCTTCTTTCCCCGAAGCCCGTCTACACCCAGGATTGTCCCCTGGCGGCAGCGAAAGCCATCCAGGGCCTGCGCGCTGTGTTCGATGAAACCTATCCTGACCCTGTGCGAGTCGTCTCCATTGGGGTCCCAGTGTCCAAGCTGCTAGACGACCCCTCTGGCCCTGCCGGCTCCCTCACTTCTGTCGAGTTCTGTGGGGGAACGTGAGTACCTCAGCGGGAGCTGTGGGGGGCCCGTGGCGTCACCCCTGGCGGATGCAGGTCCTAGACCGGCTCTTGTTTATCTAAGGTTCTTTTTTTTTTTTTTTTTTTTTTTTTTTTAATATATTTTATTGATTTTGTACAGAGAGGAAGGGAGAGAGATAGAGAGTTAGAAACATCGATGAGAGAGTCATCGATCAGCTGCCTCTTGCACACCCCCTACTGGAGATATGCCCGCAACTAAGGTACATGCCCTTGACCGGAATCGAACCCGGGACCTTTCAGTCCCCAAGCCATTGAGCCAAACCGGTTTCGGCTTGTTTATCTAAGGTTTAAACAAAGCCCCCAGAAGCGCAGTTGGCAGACAGCATTCCCAGGAATCTCACATCGCAGCATTCCCGGGAATCTCACATCCCCGGCGTTGTGATGAAATGTTCTTCTAGGAGGAGGAAGCACTCCCCACACACTGTTTGCTCTTGTTCCTGTGTTGACCCCGTAGAGCTGGGATTCTTGGCCTGTGAATTCAGGATTCTGCAAGGCTGTAGAGTGCTCATCCAGCTCCCGGTCTGGTCCCAGCCCCTTTCCCTTCCTGGGATCTCACTTAACTCCCTTTGCTGCTTGAACAGCATCTGAGCTATTAATCTCATTGTCTCAGAGCCCGGGTCAGACCCCTTGGTAGGCCCAGCACAATTTGGCCTTGGAGAGCCACTTATTTCCGCCAACCTGAATCCCTCCATAGCACTTGGTACCTCCCTGGGGTCTTCTGGGATGTTCCTGCTTCTGAAGGAAGCTTGGTCAAGCGTTCTTGGGGCTTTTCAGGGCCCATCCAGGGCTTTCTGCAGGCCTCAGGCAGGCAGAGAGCAGGAGAGCATGTAGAGGGTGAGGGAGTATATGGGGACCAGGCTCCAGGCCTAATTTTGCTCTGACACTTTGCATGGAATTCTTTAGAGCACAGAAGCAGCTTTCAAAGACTCTATGCCTCACAGGATGACTGAGAGATAGTGAGAATTTGAGGTTCTTGGAGCAACAGGGAACAAAACCTGTTTGTTTAAAGGATTGTAGGATTTTAAATTAATCTCCAATATTCTCATCTAGTGAACTGGGATAGAAAAATATAGCTTATGTTCCACTAAAGAGAACCAAAAAACGTGAATGAATGTAGAGTCCCCCAGCAGTTATATGATATTGGGTATTAAGGACTACAGTTTCATTTGATCTCATTTGATTTTCCTAACAGCCCTGTGAGGGAGCATAACACCTATTCATACATGAGAAAACAGGCTCAGAAACATGGCATCTAGCTTAATGTCACAAAGCTCTCAGCTCCTTCCTGGCCAAGCTGGATTCTGCAGCCTGGCTGCAGAGCCAAGGGCTTTGGGGGGTGCCATGGGGACCAGGGCACCTGGGCTTCCTCATAACCACGGGCTTTGTGTTCTGCCGTCAGTCACCTGCAGAATTCGAGTCACGCGGGAGCTTTTGTGATTGTGAGTGAAGAAGCGATTGCCAAGGGCATCCGGAGGATCGTGGCTGTCACAGGTGCTGAAGCCCAGAAGGTGAGCAGATTGGGCTGGTTCGTGGCTTAATTCAGCAAGGCAAGAGGAGCTTCATCTTCAGATCCACAGATGGTTATGTGGCTGCTGCAGTCAGCAGCAGAAGTACCTGGCAGAAGTAAGCCACCAGAGCAGAAGATTTTACAGCTTAATCTTACTTTTCATCTGTACAATACATGCAGTCCTGCCTTGTATCCAGTAATATATCTGTGTCTAGGAAGGTTAGCCATAGTTTTGCTGTGACTTACTCACGTCGCCCTGGGGGTACGTGCCCAGTTTGAGATGGGAGCAGTTGTGTGTGGGTGGTGGGGACTGGCTTATGCCTGCTGTGTGCTGAAGCCTCCTAACTTACGACTTCTCAGTCACCCCCGAACCTGAGCTAGTGCAGCCTTTCCGCTGGCATGTGAGGAAGGTGCTCCTCTTTGGGTCAAGAGGCTGCGAACACTTGCTCCCTGGAGGAGGAGAAACTTCTGGTGTCTTAGGGATGTGCTGTTCCCTCGCCTGCCATCAGCGATGGCCACAGCTGTTTATAGACAGACTAGTGAAGCTGAACGGTATCTGGAATTACAGCTCTGATTGTCCCCTCCCAGGCCCTCAGGAAAGCAGAGAGCTTGAAGAAGTCTCTCTCTGTCATGGAGGCCAAAGTGAAGGCCCAGACTTCGCCCAACAAGGACGTGCAGAGGGAGATCGCTGACCTTGGAGAGGTGGGTGGCTTCCCGCTCCTCAGGGCCTACTCAGTGCTGGATCCTAGGCCTGGTGATCAGACACACACTGTTCCTAAACCCTCAAGTCTTGGCTCTCAGTGCAGTGGGCCCTTGGACTGATTCTGTTGTCACGCAGCCTTGCAATAGGGAGTCTATGGATCCCGGAACCTGCCTGCAGCCCATTGCCAGGAGCAGGGCCCATCCCAAGCATGTCCACACCGGTGTGGAGGGAGTTTGGGGAGGAGCTGTGGGTGCCTGGTTTCCAGACCTTCCGGTGTTTGTTAATATTTGGGGACTTCCAGTAAGCCCTTCACAGGCTGTGTTCACTGCTTGGTAGGGACCAGGTCGTATAGGGCTCCCATCTCTTTATTCTGCCTTTCTCTCCAGTCCTGCTTGTTAAAGCTGCTGTAGTTAACCCTGGCTGGTGTGACTTAGTGCACTGAAGGGTCTCGGGTTCCGTTCCTAGTCAAGGGCACATAACCTGGTTGCAGGTTTGATCCCCAGCCTGGTCAAGGCAGCTGCTGAAGGCAACCAATTGATATCTCTCTCTCATTGATACTTCTCTCTCTCTCTCTCTTGCTCCCCTCCTCCACATCCCTCTTCCCTTCCACTATCTCAGAAAGTCAATGGAAAAAATATCCTCAGGTGAGGATTAACAAAACAATGAAGTGCTGTAGTTATTCATCAGTGACTGACCTCAAGACCGATGGATACCATTTTTTTGTTTTCTCTTTCCTTCTGGACACTAATCAGGGAGGACTTTAGTGTTCAAAGCGAGAAGAGTGGGGTGGGCTGAGCTGGATCCTCACATCCCCGCTCCTTGTGGTTCATATTTGAATAGTCTTCCGGTTCTGGTTCCAGGCCCTGGCCACTGCAGTCATCCCCCAGTGGCAGAAGGATGAGTTCCGGGAGACCCTCAAATCCCTGAAGAAAATCATGGATGACCTAGACCGGGCCAGCAAAGCTGATGTCCAGAAACGAGTGAGTCCTGGCAGTGCTGGTGGCTGGAAGGGAACCAACAGGAATTACCCAGAACAGACCGCTGTCTGGGTGTCAGTCTGGGCCTTGGACCTGAAACCTCTCTTACGGACCTTTCTCTCTTGTAGGTGCTGGAGAAGACAAAGCAGCTCATTGATAGCAACCCCAACCAGCCCCTCGTCATCCTGGAGATGGAGAGCGGCGCGTCCGCCAAGGCAAACAGGGGCTCCAGGGGCGGGGCTCAGGGGCTGGCTCTCCAGGCATTGCTTGGTATCTAGCACTGCTTGTCTCCTCTACGGGGCTCACCAACCCTCTTGTGGCTACACTCTGAGTTCTATGACTCAGAGTGGAGTGGTCATCTGAAGGCCCACTCTCTCTGGATTGAGGTTAGGCTAAGCCATGGAGAGATGTGGTGGCTGGTCAGCTGTGGCTCTTGGAGATGGGAGGCAAACCTTAGAGAGTCTGAGGGTGGCCAGGCCCTGTGCTTGGTCCTTCTCCGTGCAGGCTCCTAGGACCAGCACCTGCTCTGGGAAGGAGGGGGGAGGTGGGCAGGGAAAGCTCTGAGAACTGAGCTCTGCAAACTCGCTGCACTTATGGGGAGCCTGGCCCCTTCCCTAGCGCCGTGGTCTGACGCCAGGTTCTCCCGCAGGCCCTGAACGAAGCCTTGAAGCTCTTCAAGACGCATTCCCCACAGACGTCGGCCATGCTCTTCACAGTGGATAATGAGGCTGGCAAGATCACATGCTTGTGTCAAGTCCCTCAGGTCAGAATGCCCTGCAGCCCTGCGCCAGTGGGTGCCTGTTCTGAGGGAGCTCAGTTCTTACGGTTGTTTGCCCAACCCCCAAGGGTGTTTGTGCAAACCCCATTGGAAATGGTCCTTCTCTCTTAAAAAAAATTGATTTTAAAGACAGGAAGGAAGAGTGAGGGAGAAAGAAAAGGAGGGAGGGACATCAATCATCTGCCTCCCGCACATGTCCCAACTGGGAATTGAACCCACAACCTGGGTATGTGCCCTGGCCAGGAATCGAACCTGCCACACGGGAAGACACTCCAACCAACTGAGCCACACTGACCACGGCAAAGAAATAGCCCTTCTCCTGCCCTCCTGTTAGTCCCCTCCAGTATCCCTTACCCTCAGGCCCTCTCCTTGGTTGATGTGTTTAACTGTGCTGGCTGATACCTGGCTTTGTCACTCAGTATATCTTCTCTTAACCAGATACAGCTGTAGGGTCTGCCTCAACCTCCGGCAACATCACCCAGGGCAGGAGTGGGTGTCTGTGGTTTCCCCATCCTTTTTCTTTCCCTCCCCTCTCAGAGCCTCCCTCAGTTCCATCCTCTGTCCTGACTCCCACTTCTCCTTCCTGTCTTCCAGAATGCAGCCAACCGGGGCCTGAAAGCCAGTGAGTGGGTGCAGCAGGTGTCAGGCCTGATGGATGGCAAAGGTGGTGGTAAAGATGTGTCTGCTCAGGCCACAGGCAAGAATGTGGGCTGCCTGCAGGAGGCACTGCAGCTGGCCACTTCCTTTGCCCAGCTCCGCCTGGGAGATGTGAAGAATTGAGGGGAGGGATGGCTTCCCCTTGGAAGCGTCTCCCCCACACCCAGATGTATCCGCCAACCAGGACACTGCTACACGGACACTGGAATCTTGGGACCTTTAAATAGCCCCACTTCTCCTAACTCAGCGGTAACTGGAACTCAGGCACCCATGTTACATTTCTGCTGGAGCCCTACACCTCAGCACCATCTGTGTAGAACCACTATCCCAGTATTGCTACTTACCATTGTCATGCTTATGTCTATGTCTATAGACAGTTCTCTGCAGACCCGAGGCTCCAGGTCTGCGGGAAGGAACCATTTTTGCTGCAGAGAATAAAAGGACCATGTGCAATACTTGATACCCTGTGATTTCTATCCACCCTCCCACCACCACCAATAGGTGCCCCTGTGTGACAGCCTGTGGCTCCCTGAGTGAAGACTGAATACTATGGTTCTGGCTGCAGTCCATACAGTGTCCAGCCCCAGACCCCTGGATTTTGGGAATGGCCCCCAGGATTGCCTCCCGATGTTTGTGGAGGTGGCCCACAGGATGGAGGAGTGAGATGGAGAGGTGTGAACCACCAGAAGATCCAGAGATCCTGGGAGCAGAGAGAAGCTCCTTTTGTGGAGCCTCTCGTGGGAGAACTTCCCCATTTCTTGGCCTATGTCCCTCTTCCCTTCCCCTTTGGGATGTCCTCTGAGACAGGAGGTATTTAGGGCACATCAGTGCCTCCCCCAACTCCTTTGCCCCATCATTCCCGTTTCCTTAACTCAAAGATGGACAGTGAGCATGGACACCCTACCTGCCCCTGAACCACTTCACCCAAGCCTGACGACGACAGTTGGTTTTGGAAACGTGCGCTGCTGTTGGTTAAGTGTACTGCTGACCTACACTGGATTCAGCTGGTTTCCTGTCCTCTGGGCACAGCAGGCTGGCTGACATGGAGGGAGGGGGAAAAGCAGGTCTGTGCTGTCACAGTAGGAGAAGGGTGCCAAAACCCTAGATCCAAGCACATGCTGGGCATACAAAGCTTCACAATCCAGGGCAGCAGAGATAATTCCAACAAGTGCCAGCCAGGGTACAGGAGTGAGCAAGACAAAAAGTCATTGCCCTCTTGGGTACGGCAATGGGGAATACATAAAACAGTCACACAAGTAAGTGTAGAATTAAAATAAATACAATCTTGCCCTACCAGTGTGGCTCTGGCTAACATCAACTCATGAGTCAGGTCACAGATTCCCAATCAGGGAACATGCCCGGGCGTGGGCTTGGTCCCCAGCAGGGGGCGTGCAGGAGGGAGCCAATCAGTGATTCTCATTGATGTTTCCATCTCCCTCTCTGAAATGAATAAAAATATATTTTAAAAGATTAAATAAATAAACACACTCTTCACAAGTGAAAGGAAGAAGGCACGTGCCCTGGAGTTGCCCTGGTCCAGGAAGCTAGAAGTCAGCTTTTGCGGCGGGTCCCGGGCTGGGAAGCGCTCGCTGTTCACCCTCCGGGACGGCAGGGGGCAGTGCGGCGCCGCCCGCTGCTATCCCGGCAGCCCTCGCGAGCGCGCGCGGCGGAAGCGGCTCGCACGCCCAGCGCCGCCATGCCCGGGGACCACCGCCGCATCCGCGGGCCCGAGGAATCGCAGCCGCCGCAGCTGTACGCGGCCGAGGAGGACGAGGCGCCCGAGCCCCGCGACCCCTCGCGGCTGCGGCCCGTGTACGCGCGCGCCGGGCTGCTGAGCCAGGCCAAGGGCTCGGCCTACCTGGAGGCGGGCGGCACCAAGGTGCTGTGCGCCGTGTCCGGGCCGCGCCAGGTGGAGGGAGGAGAACGTGGCGGCGGCGCCGCGGCGGGCGAGGCCCCGGCCGCGCTGCGGGGGCGCCTGGTCTGCGACTTCCGCCGCGCGCCCTTCGCGGGCCGCCGGCGCCGCGCGCCGCAGGGCGGCGGGGAGGAGCGCGAGCTGGCGCTGGCCCTGCAGGAGGCGCTGGAGCCCGCCGTGCGCCTGGGCCGCTACCCGCGCGCGCAGCTCGAGGTGTCGGCGCTGCTGCTGGAGGACGGCGGCTCGGCGCTGGCCGCCGCGCTCACGGCCGCCGCGCTCGCCCTGGCGGACGCGGGCATCGAGATGTACGACCTGGTGGTGGGCTGCGGCCTGAGCCGCGCGCCGGGGCCCGCGCCCGCCTGGCTGCTGGACCCCACGCGGCCGGAGGAGGAGCGCGCCGCCGCCGGCCTCACCGTGGCGCTCATGCCCGTGCTCAACCAGGTGGCCGGGCTGCTGGGCAGCGGGGAGGGCGGCCCGACCGAGAGCTGGGTCGAAGCCGTGCGCATGGGCCTCGAGGGCTGCCAGCGCCTCTACCCGGTGCTGCAGCAGTGCCTGGTGAAGGCTGCCCGCCGGAGGGGCGCCGCCGCCCCGTCCTGACCCAGAAGCCGGAGGGATGACGGACGCCCAGGACCTTTCTGCTGCCGCCACCGCCACCGCCACCGCGCGGCCCTGAGAACTCGGAGCACCTGAGAGGCTCTGGGGAGACGCGCCCGGAACTGATGCACTGGACAGCTGTGTTTTGGAACAATTTTGTACAAACTGACTGGTTCAAGGTGTTTTTTTTTTTTTCTATTTAAGCTGGCTCTTCTTAGCCCCGACCCACGTTGGAAAGGACTTCGGCTGGGCGAGAGGTGGAAAATGGGACCTGACGCTGCTACTGTCGTGTGAGGGGTGGACCCTATGCAGACGGGCCAGGGACTCCCTCCTCTGTATGTAACTGTGCTGCTTTCGAGAGAGCGGACAGGGAGGGCTGTGCCTTCTCACGTAGATTTGAGCTAAAACAACAACAAAAAAACCCTTTTCTATCTGAAAAGCCTTCTCTTGTGGTTCTTGGTACGAGGTTTAAAAGAGCAAGGCTGTCTGTCTTGAGCTTTGTCGTGTGTTCTTGGGATGCCTGGTGTGAAGGGCTAAGGGCAAGCAAGGTCTAAAATGTGTTCTGTCTGTAGTGGGACATGAGCAGAAGAGACAGGCTAAAGGGGAAGAAGCTGCGGGGGAAACGTAGCTTTGGAAGAGAAGCTGCCCCTCAAGTACCAGAGTCAGGGCCGCTGCTGAGGTGTGATGAGCGTGGAGGGCTGTGTGCCTCCAGGGGCATTCTGGGAGCACACCAGCCTCTGTTTTGGTGCTGGGAAGAGTTTGGGTGTCGGTGGAAGCCAGACCCCACCCTTTCTTGGCCGTGTGCAGAGCCACACAGCCAGAGGCCTCCACTGCTGGTAGGAAGTGAGGGCCTGGACTGGCTTCATCGTGGGTGTCCCTTACCCAGTCCCAGCTGCTGGGAGAGAGCAGATGAACCACCAGGATTGAGAGTTGGATGTTGGGAATCTAGATGCACCCTGGTCATTCTGCAGGGCAAAGCCGGCCTGGCTGGCTGGCCACAAGGATAGGAGATCCTATCCTTGGGTGGCTCCTGAGCCCAGGGGTTTGTGCTCATGTCTCTATGGAGGAAGCGTAGTCTCCTCTCTGCCTTGGTTTGGTATGACCACCTGAACTTGAGTGTCTTGGATCTGCTCAGCTCCTCTAGGAAGGGCTGGCCTGGAGCAGCCCAAGGACCAGAGTGAAGCTCAGAGACAACCTTGATGACCAGGGAAAAATACAAGTTTAGTTTTTCCCCTTCTGACACATTTCCAGAATTGGATTCGAGGTTAGGGGTTCTGTGCATGGCACTGTTATAGCAGCATTTGCTGCAGACAGTGGGGGTGTGTGTGTGTCTCCCTGCGCTGCCTCCTCCCCACCTTTCCTAGGTCATTGGCCAGGGCTGAAGAGCAGCCTGGTCATAGGTCCTCGGCCGCACCAGTCCCCCCCTGGTCTGGGCTAATGGTTGCAGTCTGCAAGCCTGGGCTTCCCAAACGATAATTGAATGCACATTTGGGATAGTGCAATGGGCAGAGGTCAAGCCCTCTCTTCAAGGGTCCTCAGGGTCAGAGGCAAGGGCTGGTGGTCCAGGAGGGTGGCGGTGGCTGTCTTCCCCACAAACCTCTCCCTCCAGGTTGCCAAGCTCCCTTTTGAAGCCCAAAGCACGTGGCCTGGACCTGGTCCAGTTCTCAGGACGAGGTCATCCAGCAGCTTAGTAGCCACCAAACCCCATCCCGAACCTGTGCTTCCTCTAGGCAACTCCCAAGAGACCCGGCCACAGTCTGCACCCACCCTCTGCTGCCCCAAACCCTGGGGAAACCCTTCCTTCTCCGCCCTGGAGTCCCCTGGGGACACATGATCTTAAGGAGGTTACCCCTCCTCCAGGCCTTGAATGCAGGGCCCTCTAAATGGATGTGAGCACCTGCGGGACAGCTGTCATCACTCCCATTGCTTCCCTGTTGCACCTGCACCCCTCAGAGGGCCACCGGGACTGGGTCCGAGCCTGCTGGGCAAGGGGGCGGTGGTGGGATAGGAAACCTGGAGACAGCAACAAGGACTGAAGAACTGAGTTCGGGGTTCGCTCAGCCTCCAAAGTGGCCGCGTAAAAAAAACACATGGGAGCCCTAACCGGTTTGGCTCAGTAGATAGAGCATCAGCCTGCGGACTGAAGGGTCCCAGGTTCAATTCCAGTCAAGGGCACATGTCCGGATTGCGGGCTCTATGCCCAGTGGGGGGCATCCAATCAATGATTCTCCCTCATCATTGATGGTTCTATCTCTCCCTCTCCCTTCCTCTCTGGAAAAAAAGCAAGCAAACAAACAAACAAAAAAAAAACCCACATAAAAACATGAGAGAACCACGGATCTCACATCGAGATAATTTCACAACTGCACCAACAGGCACCTCCCCAAAAACAGGCATAAGAGTCTCACATACGAGGCAGCTATCCAACACGTGCAGTTCTGCATCACAGAGAAATACAAGTTTAAGAAAGTTGGGTTACCCATGAGTACACCTCTTCTCGTAACCCAAAACAAACACTGCTCACACAGACCCTCAGGCTGCCTCCGGCAGGGAGAGATTTGGCCGGTTCTCTCTATGTCATCCTGGAGGTGCAGAGGCTCATCAGAGCAGCGCGCCCAGCCCTGCCATCCCACCTCTGGGGACAAGAGCAGGGCAGAACCCAAAGGCAGCCGGAACCGTTGGACTGGCCCCAGGGTGTTTACACGGATTCTGTTCCTAAGAGCAACCACCTGCCCGTGCCTCCGCCTCCCCCGCCTGCCAGACAGCAGCGCCCACCCAATTGCCCACCAAAGGGCCAGGAGCCCCCGCAGCCGGCACAGATGCCCCGCCACAGGGGCCAGCAGGTGCGCACACCCTCCTAATGCCTGGGAAACGGCACGTTGGCTGGCAGAGGTGGGTGACATTTAAACGTTTCTTGAAGATTTCTTTAAGCTTCCTGAGTTGATGGCCAAGATTTCACCCAGAAAGGTTCTTACTGGTTACTTCTCCCACACCTAAGCCTGCAAACCACCCTGCCCCCAGGGCCCCACAGCGAGGCTCCTCAGGAGGAGGGGCACCCTGGTCTGCGGGCAGGATGCCGACTGGTGACGTCGGTGAGAAGGGGCCTGGGAATGAGCCGGGCCGACTCCCTCAGCCCAGACCAGGGAGGAAGGGCCTCGTCAGGTGCCACAGTGAGTAGGACGGACGCAGCCTGAGCTGGGGTCCTTGTTGCATCCCTTGTTTGGGAACCCAGCACCCCAAACAAGCCTCCTTCTCCAGCAGGAAGACTCACCAGGTCACGGCTGTGTCCTGCTGCCTCTTGGGGCCGGACCGGGCTGGGTGTGGGCTTCTGAGCCATATCTGAATCTGAAGAGAGCAAGAGATTGGGCAGAGTGTGAGAGGAGGGAGGGAGGCAGGGAGGGAAGGAGGGGGTACTGGAGGAAGGGCCAAGAGCATGTGGGCTCCCGCTTGCCTTCGGGGCTGGCCCTTCCCTGCCCCTCCGCCCTGAGGTGGGCGGTGCCCCGCATGGCCTCCTATGGACCTGGGTCCTTCTACCCAGGCGTGGGCTCAGGCTCCAGAGGGACCGCCTTCATCCTTAGAGAACCATGGCGTTGAGACGAAACCCCATTCTTGGGTCTCAACCCCATCTCCCAGGCCCTGGAGTTTGGGGGTGGTACTGTCAGAAGGCAGGAGGGGGGACGGGGAATGTCTGTGATCCTCGTGTTCTCTGAGCAGACACTCAGCCTTGGTCGGGGTTAATCCTTTGGTGTTCTCCCCCTGCCTGCCTGCCTGCCCCATTGCCATGTCACACCCCACAGCTGCCTCTGGGCTGTGTCTGAAATGGCCTGAATGCTCCGAGTGAGAGCCAAGGGAGCAGCCAGTCTGGGCCCCAAGAGCAGACACCCCACTGCCCTCTCTTAGTGGGAAGTCGAGAGTCAGCTGAACCCAATTCAGGGGATGGGGAGCTGAGAAGTCAAGCAGTGTAGCCATCTGTGCACCAGGCGTGGGAAAGTTGTCTCATTTCTGGGCTTCTCCCGCGTTTACTACCCTAGAGATGGAGGATGATGGAGGGGAACCCTGCTTCCTGCTGGGTCCCCCCGGCTCACGGCCCACGCAGGGCCTGGCACTAGGAGGCAGGTGCTCAGGTGATGTCTGCTGAATGTGTGAATGGCATTCCATTCATTCAGTTCTGGGCTTTGTTTGTGACTTTGAGGCCCCTCCTGGAACCCATCCCTTTCTGCCTGAATCTGTGGCCCTCACCCAGGGCTCCCTGTGACTGGCAAGACAGTCATGAATGGGAGCCTTCCCCTTGCCCTGTTCTCAAGACTTCTGCCACACGGTCACCAGGAGCATCCGCTTGCTGTGGTGCGGAGACTGGCAACAATGCCTGAATCGATTGTGATAAAATAATATTAGCTAATAGGTGATTATAAGAAGAGTGAGAATAGCTGAGACCGGTTTGGCTCAATGGATAGAGCGTCGGCTTGGGGACTGAAGGGACCCGGGTTCGATTCTGGTCAAGGGCATGTACCTTGGTTATGGGCATATCCCCAGTAGGGGGTGTGCAAGAGGCAGCTGATGGATGACTCTCTCTCATCGATGTTTCTAACTCTCTATCTCTCTAACTTCCTCTCTGTACAAAATCAATAAAAATAAAAAATAAAAAAAGAATGAGAATAGGTGCCGGGACCGGTTTGGCTCGATGGATAGAGAGTCGGCTTGGGGACTGAAGGGTCCCGGGTTCGATTCCGGTCAAGGGCATGTACCTTAGTTGCAGGCATATCCCCAGTAGGGAGTGTGCAAGAGGCAGCTGATCGATGACTCTCTCTCATCGATGTTTCTAACTCTCTATCTCTCTCACTTCCTCTCTGTACAAAATCAATAAAAATAAAAAATAAAAAAAGAATGAGAATAGGTAAGACTTACTGAGCATTTTCTATCCACCAGGCACAGTTTTAAGCATTGTTCTTACTTAAAATGTACTTAGTTAACAAATGACATGTTGATGGCTAACATTCATCAGTGTTGTCTCGCCAGGCCCTGTTCCAAACACTTTAATATACTAACTTACTTTCTTACCCTCCTTTTACAGAAGAACATGAGGCAGAGAGATGTTTTAGGGTGACCAACTGCTTTGGTTTCCCAGCATGTGGGACTTTGCTCAAACTGGGACAGTTCAAGGCAAATTGGGACAACTGGTCCTTCTTGGTGTTAAGTAACTGGCCAACGTCAGACAGTTAGCAAGTGGCAGAGCGTGGCCTCAAATTGGGGTGGTTTGACTTTAGCCTCCAGCTCTTTGCCTCTCTCTCTCTCTGGTTCTGGAGCCAGAGCTTGTGTTTGAAGTAGCTGAGGTCTTGGTAAAGCCCAGATAGCCCTCCTCACCGTCAGAGTTTCCCCAAGACAAAGCTAGATTTGGGGCAGCTGAGAATTTGCTTTTCTCACGTGTTCCCAGATGACACCGATGCTACTGGTCTGCGGACGGACATGGAGAACCTCGGCATTGTGCTCTCGCGCCCCAGGCTGCCACGGATTTTTCAGGTAGGACCAGCTGACGGCCACCTCCCCCCACAAACCCTGAGATGGCCCCCAAGGCGAGTCCTTAGCTGTGGCATTGAGGGACCAGGCCTTGTGGCTTCCAAGGGCACTGGACGGCCACTGTCAGAGCCCGAGCAGAGGTGGGGTTGCCACAAGGTGGCGCCAGTGTCGCGGCTGCTGGAGTACACTCCTCATTCCTGCGCCTGCAGCAGTGACTGGAGTCCCCAGACGGGCTCTGTAATAGAATCTGGGCCACTGTTTCTGGCCACAGAGACACCTAGCCTGGCTCTCTGACTCTCCCGGGGATCCTGGGACCAATTATTATCCCTCCCTTTAAAAAAAAAAATTATTGATTTTTTAGGGAGAGAGATAGAGGGTTAGAAACATCAATGAGAGAGAAACATCGATCAGCTGCCTCCTGCACACCCTCTACTTGTAACCAAGGTACATGCCCTTGACCGGAATCAAACCTGGGACCTTTCAATGCGCAGGCCGATGCTCTATCCACTGAGCCCAACCGGTTTCGGCCCATTATCCCTTTTGTTTTTAAATTGAGGTGAAATTTTTGTAACATGAAATTAATCAATATGCTGGTATTTAGTACATTCACAATGCTGAGATTTACCTATCGATAGGTTCCACATTTACCTAAGTTCTACAGCATTTTCATCATTCTCAAGTAAAATCTGTACCCATTAAGCAGCTAATCCCATTCTCCGGCTGCTTTATTTCAATGGCTTTTCCTGTTCTGATTAGGCCTGCCTGTGTCCTTACAGCACTGCAGGGAGAGGAGGGAGGAGACAGGGCCACAAGAGCCTCCATTATTCCATGTAAACGGGATAACGCAAGATGTGGCCTGTTGTGATTAGCTTCTTTCACTTAATGCGTGTTTAAGGTTCATCCACCCAGGGTATGTGTCAGTACTTAATGCCGTTTCATGGCTGGATGGTATTTTTCACTATATGTATATGCATACACGCCACCATTTTCTTTAACTATGTTGTTATTCATTTTTAGAAAGAGAAGAAGGGAGTGGGATAGAGATAGAAACATTGATGAGAAAGAATAATTGATCGGCTGCCTCTGCTACGTCCCCCACTACAACTCGGGTATGTGTCCTGACTGGAACCAGGGACCTCTGAGCCACGCCACCGGGGCCACAATTTTCTTACGTGTTCATCCATTGGTGGACATTTAGGACATTTCTACCTTTTGGCTGTTGTGAACGATGCTGCTATGACCTTTGTGTGTAGGGATTTTCTTGTTTTCAGTCCTCCTGTGTACATGCCTATGAGTGGAGTTGCTGGGTCATATGGTCGTTGCGTGTAACTTTTGAGAAATGGCTGCGCTATTTTTCACAGCGGCTGCACCGTGGGACCGTCCCGCCAGCAGTGCGCGAGGGTCCCAGGTGGTCCACGTCTTCCCTGACCCTTGTGATGGTCTGTTTCTTTGGAAACATCCACCCTCATGGGTGTGAAGTGGAGTCAGTCTCCCTGTGGTTTGGTCTGGATTGCTTCATGGCTAGTGGGGCTGAACATCTTCGCCTATCATTTTGGAGAACTGCCTATGTCTACACCACTGTCCTTGGGATAAATTAGTTTTTCTGCCACGATTAGCCAGAGCTTGCTCGCTTTCTTTCTTTCTTTCGTTCTTTCTTCCTTCCTTTCTTTCTTTCATATATTTTATTGATTTTTTACAGAGAGGAAGGGAGAAGGATAGAGAGCCAGAAATATTGATCAGCCACCTCCTGACCCCCCACACTGGGGATGTGCCCGCAACCAAGGTACATGCCCTTGACTGGAATCGAACCTGGGACCCCCTCAGTCCGCAGGCCAATGCTCCATCCACTGAGCCAAACCGGCCAGGGCTAGAGCTGTTTCTATTGGCTGCAACTAAGAACTGTGACGGATACACTTCTCCCCACCCATGGCCCCAGGCCACACTTCTACCTCCAACTAGCAAAGCAACTCGACGTGGGCACACGGCCATGTGCCAGTGGGCCGCGGCACATCCTGGACCCGAACAATAGTGCCTGCCCGGGTCTTTGCACCACTGCAGGGAGAGGAGGGGGCCAGGGCCACAAGAGACCCCAATGTAGACCCCAATCACAAAGAAAAAATAACCACGTGGCGCTGCAAAGAGAATAAAGGGAGAGGGCGTGATGGGCACACAAAGCCAGAGGCCGTGATGAGGGGAGCTGGAGCAGGGCATTAGGGACACGCAGGAGCCTCCTAAGTAGATGTGTCACTCAGGGACGAGGAGCCTGAGAACATCCCTGGGGTGAGCAGGGGAGGGACTAGGCTGGGCAGGCGGCAGCGGCAGGGGAGCAGGGCCTCTCTGGTCTCCCAGGACCCTCCTGGCTCGTCTGAATCCCCTTCCAAAGGAGCATTCACAGGTGTGGCTGTTTCATAACTTGGTTTAATCTCTGGTGAGGTGCATCCCGGGCAGCGAGGAACCTCCGCCTGCCCCATAGGGTCCACCCAGATGGAGAAGCGTGGGCTCATCTGACCCCTCTCTGGGGCTCTGGTTTCGGCACCTGATTAAGGCCCATCTCCCCAATCAACAGCAGGCTGGGGGCCTCCCTCCCCTCCCCCTATGCCAGGCTTCCTGTTGGCCCTGCCCCACTTCCTGCAAGGTCTGGGACCTCTTTGGGTATTGGGATTGAGGTCCTGGCCTGGCCCGGGTTCCGGACCCATGGGGCGGGCGGGCAGGCAGGCAGGCAGGCAGGCAGGTGGACGGGGCTGGTGTGCTTCTAGGCAGTGGCAGGGGAGAGGCCTGGCGAACGTCTCAGGGCCCCGGGTCCCACCGGGAAATGTGCTCCTGAGCTGGGAAGGAAGCAGAACAGAGCGAGCGTCCCTGGCCGCCCCAGGCACCCTGGGTTGGGGACCCGCTGCACCTGGTCCAGAAACACCCGGGGCCGGGGTCCCCTGGGTAGCTCAGGACCCTTCCAGAAGGGGCTGCTGGGAGCCGGTTCTGAGCTCGGCTTCCCCTCGGCCCCCCACCACTGGGCTCTGGAGAATCAGGTAACATTGAGGGACCCCACAGGTCCCGCAGCTTTAGTCACAGGAGGGAGGGACCTTGGAGAATGCCCGCCAGGCTGTCCGTGGTCCTGCCGTGTGTGGATGTGCTGTGAGTGGGCCCACCTCCCCCGCCCCCCCCCCGGGCCTCTCGCCGGGCATCTTGCGTGTGATCTGCTCTCTAGGCCTGTGATCTGCGTGTCCAGGCGCCCGGATTGGGCCCGCAGCCACCCCCGGGGACAGGCACCGCGGGAGGGGAGCCGGGGGAGGGCCCTCACCGAACCGGCAGATGTAGCGGTTGCGGGTTTTACAGCGCTGGTCGTTCCAGTTGAAGGCGGCCGAGGCCTGCAGCTCCACGCAGTTGCCGAACCTGCCGGGCCAAGGTGCCGGGTGCGCAGGTGGGAGGACGTGAGGCGCCCGGGAGTCTCAGGTCCTCCTCCCCAGCGGGCCACCTGCACCTTAGAGGCCTCCGTGCCTCTAGCCTGTACGTGGGGCTTCTGGGAGCCCGACCAGCCAAGCGCCCATCCCTGCCCGGCCCCCTGCAGCGTCCCCGGGAAGCCGGGAGGTCCTGGCACACCGCCTGCCTGGGGCAGCAACTCCACCCGCCCACCCACTCACTGCCCCACTCAGCCGCACCGGCCCACGGGGCAGGGAGCGGACCGGGAGCAGGCATGCCCTCCCTCCTGGGAGGGAGCCTGTGCCTGGGAGCCCAACCAGGCTGCCTTTCCTCTAGGCCGGTGGTCGGCAAACTCCTTCGTCCTCGGAGCCAAATATCAACAGGACAACGATGGAAATTTCTTTGGAGGGCCACATTTTTTAAGCTCAGGCTTCTTCTAACGCCACTTCTTCAAAACAGACTCGCCCAGGCCGTGGTATTTTGTGGAAGAGCCACACTCAAGGGGCCAAAGAGCCGCGTGTGGCTCGGGAGCCTCAGTTTGCCGACCACGGCTTTAGGTGATGGGCCAGAGGCGTAGGCCTGGCTGCCTTCAAGGAGGGGGTGCTGGGTGAGATAGTTGGGGGGGGGGGTGGAGGGTGAGATAGTTGGGGGGGAGGGTGAGGTAGTTGGGGGGGTGGAGGGTGAGATAGTTGGGGGGGTGGAGGGTGAGATAGTTGGGGGGGAGGGTGAGATAGTTGGGGGGGGTGGAGGGTGAGATAGTTGTGGGGGGGAGGGTGAGATAGTTGGGGGGGTGGAGGGTGAGATAGTTGGGGGGGTGGAGGGTGAGATAGTTGGGGGGGTGGAGGGTGAGATAGTTGGGGGTGGAGGGTGAGATAGTTGGGGAGGGTGAGATAGTTGGGGGGGTGGAGGGTGAGATAGTTGGGGGGGAGGTGAGATAGTTGGGGGGGTGGAGGGTGAGATAGTTGGGGGGGTGGAGGGTGAGATGATAGTTGGGGGGGTGGAGGGTGAGATAGTTGGGGGGGAGGGTGAGATAGTTAGGGGTGGGTAGGAGGTGAGCTAGTTGGGGGGGGTGGAGGGTGAGATAGTTGGGGGGGTGGAGGGTGAGATAGTTGGGGGGGTGGAGGGTGAGATAGTTGGGGGGGTGGAGGGTGAGATAGTTGCGGGGGTGGAGGTTGAGATAGTTGGGGGTGGAGGGTGAGATAGTTGTGGGGGAGGGTGAGATAGTTGGGGGGGTGGAGGGTGAGATAGTTCGGGGGAGTGGGAGGTGAGATAGTTGGAGCCCTGGTGGCCACACAGCCTGACCACCTCCACCCTTGTCACCCCACCCCGGGCATTCCTAGGCTCTGAAGACCAGGGCGGGGCCACAGAACCAGAAGGCACTCCATGCAGGCTGGCTGGTGGGTGGATGCTGTGTGAATGGATGCAGGTGGGTGGGTGGGTGGGTGGGCACAGAATCCGGGAATCAGTGCACTGACACAGACACAGGGCTGGGAGGGGGATGGACATCGACGGGGAGGACCATGGGATGGGGGTGGGGGGAGCACGGAAAAAGCCTCCTTGGGTTCCCTGGAACATCCTCATCTCAGCCCCATGCCCACCCCCGGCTGTACCCTGGCCTCCTGGCACCGGGAGGCAGGGGAGGCTCAGACCTCAGAGGCTCGGCCAGGCTGGTGGAGGTTCTTCAGCGGCGTCTCGGGGCTTAGGGAGCAGGCCCTGGGGAGAAGGAGGGCCCAGGGGAGGGAGGGCAGCCCAGACTCACCCCTGGTTGTCAGGCTGCCCAAAGGCAAAGCTGGCGAAGGCCTGGCGCTCCCCGGTGGCCCAGCGGAAGGCGTCCTTGGCGGTCTTGTAGGTGAGCCCTGGGCGGGGCAGTCCAGGAGGGCTGGAGCCTGAGCCGGGGGCCGGTCTCCTGCCGCCTGGTCCCGGCCCTGAAGCCCCCTCCCTGCTCTCGCGTTCCCCGGTGGTTCTCTCCCACTGCCCCATGGGGCTCCGAGCCTTCACCCCTGCCTCACGCTCTGCTGGTGGGTGGGTGCTCTGGTTTCCACGGCCCAGATTCCTGGGGGCGACGGCCCAGCCCCCACCCCACTTACCGATCCAGAAGTTCCTGGTCTCAAAGTCGCTGTCGGTCACCTCGTTGGTGGTCTCCAGGCGGCCCAGGTAGAAGGCGAGGATGTCCTGTACTTTCTGGCTCTCGATCTGGGCAAGCACCCCGCCCTTCCCCTGCGTAGCCCCCGTTCTGGGTCATGCCGGCAGGGGCCCAGAGCTCAGGCAGCCCTTGCTGCCACCCCACCACGGCCACGAACGGCAAATACGCGTGCTGGCTGTGCTGTCGTCGCCCCCACCCCCACCCCACCGCCTCCTGCTCCTTAGAGGAGGGTCCCCCTTACACTCCCTCCACTGGCTGGCACCGGGGCCCCGTCTGGCAGGGTCCTGCCACTGGAGGGTTTTGGTTTGCTTGCTCAGTGCCTTAGACACATTTGAGTTGGCTGCCAACATGAATAATTCTAGACATGCCAATGAAAATCTGGATTTCTGGTTCTGAAGAATCCCGAGTTCTGGCCTTCCTGACTCATATCCCTGTTGGCAGCCAGCAGCTGGGAGCTGAATCAGGACAGCTCCTTAGACGGGGGCTGGGTGGGCCTCATTCCGGGACCCTCGGCTCATTATGAGACCTCCTGGTCTCCATGGCTCTGAGTAGACACCCCTGCTTCATGCTAATGACGAGAAGATGTCGAAGGAACCTTCTCTTAGCCCAGGATCCCTCCTCAGTCCTTGAGACCCTAGAGGGGAGGGGCTTCCTGGGGAGGCAGGGGTCAGCTGTCACCTGGCATTTCATCTTGGCTCCGTAATAGGTGTCCGCCTCCGGAGACACCATGAAGCAGTCTCCGTCGATCCTCAGGTCACAGGTGTGGAAGGGAAAGTGCACCTTGGCTGGGGGAAGGGGGAGTTTGAGTTTGCGTGTTAACATCTCATGTCAAAAGTCACCCTCTCACCCTGCCAGGGAGCTGAGCTCAAGGTACCACCCCTTGGAGAGTGGGTGGGAGCCAGTGGTGTGCTGGTAAACGTATTAAAGCCAACTCTGGGCCTCAAAATCAATCAATCAATCAATCTGTGATTTGTAGCATTTGCCAATTCTCATGGTGTAAATACCCATACCGTGGCCCATTTCAAGGTACTAATATCACTGACCATGGAACTGGGAAGAGATGTGTACAACAGGCAATTATGCGGTGGCCCGAGCCAGACCCGGCACCCTATCCAGGGGATCCTGGGAGGGCCCGGCTTGTTGGGGACCTGGGGTCAGAACTCACTGGCACATTGGGCTCCCCCGTAGCCGACGTCACAGACACAGGAGCACTCCTCTTCCCGGAACCGGCCATGCACGCACTGCATGCTGCACCGCACTGCAGGACGGGGCGGGAGGGGCCTGCGCTCAGCCACAACCCTCCACCCCATGCTGCCTCCCGCAGGCCAGGCTGCGGACATGCAGGGACTGGCCAACCACAGAGAGGTCCCCTCTCAAGGCTCCCAACCGCTGCCCCTCTGGGCGTCTTTGGTTTGATCTTGTAGAGAGAAGCAAATTGGGGTTGGAGCGGTGACCTGGCCGTGGCCACAGAGCTGGGGATGAGAGACAATGGGAGAGGAATCCACTTTGAACCCTAAGTCTGCCTTCCACCACCCCAGGATGTATGGGGGCCACTCCTGATTCTGTTTTGAACCCGCCCTGCACAGCTCAGGGTCTTGCCGGCAGTCAGTGCTCAATGGATGCTTGTTGAATGACTATATGCAGCGCTCAGATCAGCAAGCATCCCCCCCTAGCACACTTGGTACTCCCTCAAACTCATTCACAGAGTGCAACACAGCCCCTGGACATATCACACAGCGCCTGTGTGCACACACGTGCCCACATGCACTAGGCTCAGCCCCTCCTCGCCCCCAGGGGCTGCCTGAGTGTGCGCCAGGCCCAGACTCCCCTCGCGGGGCCCCTCAGGCTGCTGTGGTCTGCAACTCTGGGGCTCCTCACCTTGGCAGAATCTGCCCGTGTAGCCAGGGGGGCAGTGGCAGCGGCAGGAGCTGACGTTGAGCTGTCCGTGGTTCCTGCAGCTCATGCGACAGGGGTTCCTGGGGACCTCTGGCCAGAGAAGGAGGGGCCTCTGAGAGGGGCTGCCCCAGGCAGGTGCTTCGCGGGGGCTGGGCCCAGGCTTCTGGGACAGCCCCTCGGGGCACTGCCACTTTCTCCAATCACCCGTCATGCTCTCAGCTGCCCGCTCCCACAGGAGGAGGTGGGTAAGGGGGCACTTACCACAGAGCCCCCCTGCATGGTCCCAGGCCTTGAAGCAGCCTGAGACGCTGGCCGTGCAGAGCGAACACCAGGCGCCCTTCTTGTAGGGGACGATTGGCTGCCCGTTGACCTCCCAGTTGCCTCTGTGAGAGCAAGCACCGGAGAGGAGCTGGGAGGACCCCTGCCATCAGCCTGCCCTACCCGCCCGCCCCTCAGCTCAGCCAGGGAGTTGGGGAGCTGGGTGAGACTGGGAGATTTCCCGGAAAAGGAGAGAGGGCCTCCCAAGGGAAGGTCCTGGGAAATCTCCTGCAAGCAGAGAGTGCTTCCAGGAGGAGGCATTTGTCTGAGGAGACTCCACCTCCTGCGTGGCCAGGATTGGGGTGCGGCCACCTCGGCACCCAATCCCTAACCCCCTTCTTCCCTCTCTCCCACAGGGTGGAGATCTAGGGGTAAAGGCCTTGTGGGTGATGGGTAGACGCCTCTCCCAAGGTGAACGTGTCCTCACCCCAGCCTGACAGCCCCCCGGGGGCAGGGGGGCTTACCCAGGAAAGTAGGCACAGACAAAGGCTTCCATCCCGGCCTGGTCCCCAGAGCAGGGATGACGCCCACAGCCCAGCTGGCTCGAGGTGGCCCACACGAGCTGTGGGAGACACCGTGGCTCAGAAGTCCTATCAGGCCACCCCCAGGCTGGGGCCAGCAGCACAGGTGATGCTCTGGCCCCAAATGAGGCAGGCAGGCAGCTCCCTCGCCTCCCTGGGGGCCTCAAGAGTAGCAGCTATGCTGATCAAGGCCGTAAGGATGGGTGGGAATGGTCTGGGAGGCTGTCTGGGTGTTCAGGGGAGTGGAGGGTGAGGGCAGGCAGGTAGCTGAAAGGAGGGGAGATTGTGGAGGGTTGGAGGAGAGATGCTACAGGAAGACTTGGACGTGAAAACCTTGTGACAGATTGCAAAAACTCTGGCCGTACCCCTTGCTTCAGCTCCTTTTTTAAATGTGGCTTTGCAGTTCTTTATGTCAAGAGAAGTACTCTCTTTCCCACACCCTGAGTCTGGCTGGCCCTGTGGCCAATATCAGAGGTGATATTGAGCCAGTTTTGAACCTAGGCCTCAGGAGACCCTGCAATTTCTACTCACTCTCATAACAGCATGCTCAAGTCACCTCATGAACAAGCCTCCTGGAGGCTGAAAGACCTCCTAGGGCTGAGATGAGCCAGTTAGAGCCACTCTAGCAGCCAGCTTCTGCCAATCCCACAGCTGATTGAGTTGCATGAGTGGGTCCAGCCAAGACCAGAAGAACCTCCCAGCTAATCCCAACCCAAATTGTGTATTTGCAGAATTGTAAGATGCTACATTGTGGGGGAATGTGTGTGCATCCAAAGCTAATCAATACAGGTTGCTAACAGTATTCAAAACTTAGATTTAAAGTTTTAGATTCAGTGACAATGTGGAAATAGAACAAGTGGTCAAAGCACAAGAGGAGCTAAGCAAATTGGTAGCCGTTAAAAATGACAGGTGTGGCTCTAGCTGGTTTGGCTCAGTGGAGAGAGCATTGACCTGCGGACCAAAGGGTCCCGGGTTCTATTCCGGTCAAGGGCACGTGCCTTGGCTGCAGGCTCCTCCCTGGCGTGGGCTCTGGTCAGGGCTCATGCAGGAGGCAATCAATCTCTGTGTTTCTCTCACATCAGCGTTTCTGTCTGTCTTTCTCTCTCTCTTCCACTCTCCCTGAGAATCAATGAAATAATATTCTTGAGTGAGGATTAACAAAAAAATAAAAGACAGGTATGAGGCAGGGAGAGATGAACATGTGGTCATACGTATGTGTCCAACAATGAAAGAATATGCATTAAAAAAAAAAAATATATATATATATATATATATATATATATATATTTAAAGAGGAAGCGAGAGGGAGAGAGAGAAACATCAATGATGAGAGAGAATCATTGATCGGCTGCCTCCTGCAGGCCCCCTATTGGGAATCAAGCCCACAATCTGGGCATGTACCCTGACTGGGAATCCAATTATGACTTCCTGGTTCATAAATCCACACTCAACTACTGAACCACACTGGCTGGGTAGAATATGCATTCTTTTTAGGAATTCATGGAATTTTTCCAAACGTTGACCCCATCAGCAAACCACAAAGCAAGATTCATCCATTACCAAAGAACCAATATCCTATCGGCCATGTTCTATGACTTCCATGCAATAAAATCCAGAGTAATTTAGAAGTAAAGAAGAAAGTATAGTTTAGAAATTTAAATATACATTTTAAAATCAAAGGCAACATCATGATGGGAAGTAGGAAACACTTAGAACTTAAATGACGAAAACACTATCAAACTTATAGAATGTGGCTAGCAAAGTTTAGGGGGAAATCTATAGCTTTAAATGCATAAAGCAGTTATGAAAAATACTTAAAATCATTGAGCTAAAAACCCATATTGCGAATATAAAAAGAGATAATAGAGTAAGTTGAATAAAACAGAAGAAAAAAAATAAAAATAAAAACAGAAATGAACAAAAATTTTTAAATGAAGACAAAGATTTGTTCAAATAGAGAAACCTTTGGGAAAATTGGTCAAGACTAAAAGAGAGAAGGTACAAATAAATGTGGGACTTTTAAAAGGACATTAGCTACACAGTAAATACTTTAAAATCTCTGTTTAATTCTAGTTTTAAAAATCTCTGTTAAATAATGAACAACTATGAAATATTTGTTTTCTCACTGACACCATCTAACTGCCATTCTATTTATTGTACAGATTCAAGGAGTTTCTATTACATTTAGAATTGGATGTTAATGAAAAGCAAACCACCAATCAGTTTTTTCTATTACCAATACATTTTTTAGAATCTGAAAGACCAGGAGTTCTAAAAGTCAAGAGAATGAATGGCTACCTATTTATAACTAACTCATAAAATAAACTTTGCAACACATTTTTTTGAAAAGAATAACTATGACCAATACATTGGAAAACACAGAATGGACCGTTTTCTATAAAATAGAAGTTGGCAAAACTCTCTCAGGAAGAAACAAAAAATCTGAAATGATTTATGACCATTTCTTCCTTTTCCTTCTATATTTTAAAATATATATTTTTTTATTGATTTCAGAGAGGAAGGGAGAGGGAGAGAAAGATAGAAACATTAAGGATGAGAAAGAATCATTGATCGGCTGCCTCTTGCACACCTTACACTGGGGATCAAGCCTGCAACCCAAGCTTGTGCCCTTTCCTGGAATCAAACCTGACACCCTTCAGTCTGCTGGCTGACACTCTATCCACTGAGCCAAACTAGCTGGAGCTGATAATTATTGAAGCTGGACGACAGGTACATGGGGGTTCATTGTAGCATCTGACCATTTTGTTTATGTTTGAAATTTTCTGTAATAAAACTTTTAATCCTGCCGAAACCGGTTTGGCTCAGTGGTAGAGCGTCGGTCTGTGGATTGAGGGGTCCCGGGTTCGATTCCGGTCAAGGGCATGTACCTTGGTTGCGGGCACATCCCCGGTAGGGGGCGTGCGGGAGGCAGCTGGTTGATGTTTCTCTCTCATCGACGTTTCTAGCTCTCTATCTCTCTCTCTTCCTCTCTGTAAAAAATCAATAAAATATATTAAAAAAAAAAAAAAACTTTTAATCCTGACCTGAGGATATCTTTTTACTGATTTTGAGAGAGACAGGAAGGGGGCGGGGGGGGGGGGGAGAGAGAGAGAGAGAGAGAGAGAGAGAGAGAGAGAGAGAGAGAGAGAGAGGAGAATATCATCAATCAGTTGTCTCCTGTTCGCACCCCATCCAGGGGTCAAACCCACAACCTAAGAACATGCCCTGAAAAAAAGTAAAACTAGCTGAAACCGGTTTGGCTCAGCCGTAGAGTGTCGGTCTGCGGACTGAAAGGTCCCAGGTTCGATTCCGGTCAAGGGCATGTACATTGGTTGCGGGCACATCCCCGGTAGGGGGTGTGCAAGAGGCAGCTGGTCGATGTTTCTCTCTCATTGACGTTTCTAGCTCTCTATCCCTCTCCCTTCCTCTCTGTAAGAAAAATCAATAAAATATATTAAAAAAAAAAAAAAAAAAAAAGTAAAGCTGCCCTGCTGACGTGGCTCCGTGGTTGAGCGTCAGCCTGTGAACAGGAGGTCACAGTTCGATTCCCAATCAGGGCACATGCCTGGGTGGCGGGTTTGACCCCCAATGTGGGGCGGCGTTCAGGAGGGAGCCGGCCAATGATTCTCTCCCATCGTTGATTTTTCTTTCTTTCTCTCCCTCTCCCTTTCTCTCTGAAATCAATCAAAATATATGTTTTGTAAAAAGTAGAACCACACAAATTGGGGGGAAAAGCAGCCACTAATTTTAGGACAAACTCCAGCCCCTCTGAGCCCGCACCCTGGCCTCACCTGAGTGTAGTGGCTGCAGGTGGCGTTGAGGGCACACTCCGCCGCCTCGTGGCTGTACCGCTGGCCTTCCGAAAACCACAGGCCCACCACGTGGACGAAGGACGCCACGCCCACGGGCAGCAGCTGCACGTTCCAGCCCACCTGTGAAGTGGCCCCCCGAGTGGGCACCCGGCTTGAGGCTGGGACGCCACAGAGGGCTGCCCTGGCTTGAGCCTGTCGGGCGAGGCTCTCACTCCAGTCCTGGGGGCGGTACGAACAGAAACATCAGCAGGGAGCTCTCCCTTGCCATCCCCCCCACATCCCTGGGGTTGCTAGCTGCAGAGAGCACTGGGCCAGGTGTCCTGCTCGGCTGCCTGGCCACTCTGCGCTGGTTTCACCCAGTTCACCGGGCCGGGGAAGGTCTGGTAGGGCCAGCCCAGAGCTCTCCCAAGGTGCATTGGGAAAGGACCAGCCCAAAGCCGGCTCCACCCAGGACTGGGAGCCTCCATCCTCCTGACTCCTGTGGGCACCCTCAGGCCCTGATCCGGGCATCACCATCCTGGGGGGACAGGTGCCCCGGAGGGAGCGATGCCAGCCCAGGCGCCGGGACGGGTTTCTGCAGTAATCTTTCCCACCTGGGAATGAGTGCGGGCAATGCCCACGCTTTCCATACTGGTTCTGGGTTGGCCATGAGGTACGCCTGACCCTGGCCATGCCCAGCTGATCCCACTCGGCTTCCCTTCTGTGATGCCAAAAGCTGCAGCAGCCGGGCCTCTGTACCCTATTCCCCCATCCACCCCGGCCTTGACGTGTGAAGGGCACCCACAGAGAAGGGGGCCGGCGGGGGCGTTGGGGGTCTCCTGGTCCCAGAGAGCAGAGTGTTCTGGAGCAGTTGTAATCTGCTCTCCCTACCCAGGCACCAGCGGACCTCCCCACACCCCCACTCTGCAGCACCCCCTCCTCTGAAACAAGGCCTTCTGCAGGCAGGATGACGTATAGAATCCGGTCGCCATGCCCTGGGCCACCTAGACACCTCATCACAGCTGTGGGACCTCCAGCAGTCCCCTACCCTGCTTAAGACTCAACATCCTCATTTCCCATCTGTAAAATGGGAACACTAAGGCACCCATAGGCTGAGACTGTCGTGAGGATTAAATGGATGCAGGGCCCAGCAGGCTCAGTGGCTCAGTGGTTGAGCGTTGACCTATGAACCAGGAGGTCAGGGTTCAATTCCCAGTCAGGGCACATGCCCAGTTTGTGGGCTTGATCCCCATTAGGGGGTGTGCAGGAGACAGCTGATCTATGATTCTCTCTCGTCCTGGATGTTTCTATCTCTCTCTCCCTTCCTCTTTGAAATCAATAAAAACATATTTTAAAAAATAAAGTAAAATAAATGGATGCAGGGAGGAGAGTGCATTGCTGAGGGCCTGACTCACAGCAGGGGCCATAGTGACTTTACTGCCGGTGGGCCCCCCAGCAGCCCTGAGCCACCCCCAGCGCCTCAACCCCACGGGAAAAAAAGCTGTAGAAGCTCACGGGGGTGCCCAGGACCAAGCCACAGGTATGAGGGAGGCTGTGTGGGGACTTCTTTTTGCATCTTTTATGAAACGCTGTTTTCTAAGAGTTTGGCAAAGAGGGCATGAAAAGTGTAGAAATGGTGCCCTGATGGGTTTGGCTCAGTGGATAGAGCGTCGGCCTGCGGACTGAAGGGTCCCAGGTTTGATTCCGGTCAAGGGCATGTACCTTGCTTGCACCTTGCTTCAGGGCACATCCCCAGTAGGGGGTGTGCAGGAGGCAGCTGATGGATGTTTCTCTCTCATCGATGTTTCTAACTCTCTATCCCTCTCCCTTCCTCTCTATTAAAAAAGTCAATAATATACATTAAAAAAAGAAAAGTGTAGAAACAGCTGATCAGAGTGCCCTCACACCATAGTGTGGGAAGGGACGTGGGTGCCAGGACCTGGGCCTGAAGGAGAGGCAGAGCCACTGCAGCGCAGGGAAAGTGGGAGAAGTGACCCCCCCCCCCATCTCCCGGTCCCACCCCCACCTCCTGGGAAACTGACCCAGGAGCTCTCAAGGTCACCCGTGCTCAGCCAGCGGAAGAGGAGTGTGTGGGAGGCAGTCATGGGGAACCCTGCCGCTCCCAGGCCTGAGAGCATCGGCTGGGGTAGCTGAGGTCCCACACCGTGGGGGCAGAGTTTCTGGGCCCCAGCATGACACCTCCAACCCCAGAGCCCCAGCCAGGGGTGGTGGGAAACCCTGTACCACTGACCGTAGTCCCCGTGAATGAGCAGGGAACTTAGAGGGGCCTCCTTTTCCCAGACAAACCCGTGAGGAAGCAAGCACTGGGTCCTGGCCCCACACAAGCCCCTCCCCTGAGCAGGATGCTTCTCTCTCCATCCTGCTGGGACTCCTTTGTGAAGCTCCTTCCATGCCTCCTGGTCTCCAGGACGACCGGGTGGGAGGTGAGGAAAGGCCAAAGGAGGGCCCTTCTGGGAAGCAGGAAGCTGTGGAGCCCCCAGCAACCAGGCCAGTCCCGCTGCAGGCCAGGGGGCTGGCTGCCCCTTCTCCCCTGCTCCGGTGGAAGGCGCCTGGTGCCCACAGGGCCCCCTCCACCGCCCTCTCCGTGAGCTGGGCCGGGCGGGCACTCACCAGTCTCTGCATGTTGGCCGCAGGGGGATGCACCCGGCTGCGCAGGCGGTTGTGCAGGGAGAGGAGCAGGAAACCCTCCTTCCTGCTCAGGGCTGGGATGGGAGATAAGGTCAGGGCCACCGGAGCCGCGGGGGCCCATGCCCTGGCTGATGGGGTGGGGTCACCATGTCAAGAGGAGAAGGCAATCCTTTCCTTAGGAAACAAGACCTGAGGCGGGACGGGAGGACCCGGAGCAGAGAGATGGGGGACTAAGAGGTGGAGAAGAGTCGGGGTGAGAGGGACAGGTGTAACGGAGTTTGGCTGAGAGCTGGGCGTGGCGAGATAGAGGCCATAGGGGCTGGGGGATGGGTGTGGGGAGGACACCGGCCCTGGGCTCCCAGAAGCCCCCTGCCTCGGGCTCCTGTTGGCCCCTGGGGTTCTCCTAGGGCCCCAACTGCAAACTCTAGGCTGCATTCCTCCTTGACCCCCACGCCTGGGCCCGCTCCCCTTTATTCTTCCTCCTCCTCCTCCCCCATTCGTCTCGGCTCTTGGCCCCTGGACGGGCCGAGGGCTGCTCTTTAGACCACATCAGCATGCCCAAGGCTCAGGCCTCGTGCTAGCTTCTAGAAGCCCCTTAGAGCCCCTGAGCCACATCATAGCTCCTCCATCTGGCCTCGCCCGGGGCCCCTTACCTCCGGGCATTGGCGCCTGCTCCTCCCGCAGCTGGAGCGGCCGCACCTCTGCCCAGGCCACGCAAAGGAGAGCCAGGAGCCTGGGCAGGAGGCCAGGCCCGTGGCCCCCCAGCCTGGAGGAGGGCTCCAGCCACAGCATGGGTCTGCAGGGTGATCTGGGAGCAGCCTGGCTCCGCCGACCAGCGTCCGGCTCTCGCTTCCCAGGCTGGACGGAGCTATTCACAATCTCGAGGAGTCGGGCTGGGCTGGCAGACAAAAGGAGGAGGCTGGTGAGTAATCATTGTGTCCAAACAAGCCTCCTATCCAGGCTGGCATGAAAGGGATAGGCAGCTGCAATCCCGAACGCCCCCCATCCGCCGACCTACCAGCCAGGCGGTGTGCACTGACCCCGTGGCCCCTGCTAATCATTGCAGGGTTCTCAGAGCCTCGGGCGCCCTTGTGGGCCTTGCTGATTGGCCCACGGACATTCCAGGGCTGCGGATTAACAAGTGATGGCGGTGCCCTGGCCGGGACAGTGTCCTTCCTCAGAGGCTTCCCACTCCCAGCCCCAAGCCCAGGCAAGAGGCTGGGGCCTCAGCCGTGTGCCCTGCGTGCGGGCAGGAACTGGGCAAGACCCCAGGGGAGTTCTTTCCTTTCTTGGGAAGCTAGTCCCAGCCCCCAGCCATGAATTAAACATGGGCAGGTGGTAACTGTACACCAGACAGGTGCCGTCGGTGGGTGGGCACTGGGGCCGTAGGCTTGAGGGAAGTGGGCTGGGAGGAAAGGGTGCTGTAGGAGCGTCTGTCTGGGCAGTGTGGGGGCTGGCTCCCCTCACACCCCCCCTCTCCCCCCACGGTCTCCCATGTGACTACTGGCCAGGAGCAGGCAAGGCAAGAGGCAGGAGAGCACGTGACACCCTTGGCTGACCTGAGTCCTGCAGGGAACACGTTGTCCCCTAGACAAATAGCCGGTGTAGTTAGGGGGCAGCAACTTGCCATGATGCTCAGGGTCTGGCCACGGCAACACAATCGGAAGAGAATATATTGATCTGCACCATGGCTCACGTTTCTTAGAAAACAAAAGGCTGTCTTGCAGGCCACAGGTAAATTGTCCACGTTCCCCACAGCGCGGATCAGAGGGTATTCAGCCGCCCAAAGGACAGCCTTGCAAGACAACTACCTCTTCCTTCTGGAGTTTGTGCGACCCCTGACCCCTGGGCTGGAGCTCTCTGAGCCCGGTGTCAACTCCCTGGGAGCTTTGCTGAGATGCAAGTGGGCTTGTCAATAATAATGGTTTAATCCAAAAAAAGGAAAATAAAAACAAAGTTAAAAAATAGGTGGCAAGTGGGGAGAAAGAGGGAGTGTGGTAGGAGAGCTCATTTTCCAGGTCCGTAGAGAATATCTGAATACTGAATACTTGAATGCTGGCATTTAGACCCAGGCCAGGTCAGCTCCAAAGTCATTCTCTTGCCCAACCTCAATGAGCCCTTCCATCTTGGACTCTGAGGGCCTTGAGTCCAAGGATGCCCCAGATCCAAGTGTCTGAGGGGCCCCGACTCCACAGAGCACCGCTTGGGAAGGACAGTGGGAGGAGCCTGGCCCATCCCTCCTTCAAGGCTTCACCAAAGGAGCATCTTCTCAGTCTTTGGCGTGCACAGGAGCCACGCTGGGTTATATCCTCTCAGGGGAGATTTGATTAATCCTGACATCCTGCACCCTGTTGGAGGGGCCCTCTGAACGCAGGAAACCTGTGAATTCATATGCCACAGCGCCACCTACTGGTCAGGTAATATGGCCAACGGCAGTAAACTAATCATATCGCTACAGTGTTCCCCAAACTTTTGACATATGTGTACCCCTTCTATAATTTTCGTAACACTGAGTAACCCCCGTACTCATGAGAACGTAGAATTAGGCACAGCTAAGCACGGTGCAGTGCATATCCCCACCAAATTCTTCCCGTACCCCTGGGGGTACGTGTACCACACTTTGGAAAACACTGCACTACAGGATTAGCCCCATTTCACTGATGGGCAAACAGAGCCCCATTTCACAGGTGGGCAAAAAGGACCCTTCGGTCAGTGTGGGTCAGCGGAGGTGCTTTGGTGGGACCACTCTGGCCAGAACAGGAGACCCCCATGGTCCCTACACACACTCACTTGCTCCAGGTTGTCTGGGTCTCACCAGTAGGAGGCTTCAGACATATAACCTTGGCTCCCAGTCCCAGACCTTCCCACTAGCTGTGTGATCTTGAAAAAGTCATGTTACAGCCCTAGCCAGTTTTGCTCAGTGGATAGAGCGTTGGCCTGGGGACTGAAGGGACTGGGATTTGATTTCGGTCAAGGGCACATGCCTGGGTTGCAGGCTTGATCTTCAGTAGGGAAAGTGCAGGAGGCAGCCGATCAATGATTCTCTCTCATTATTGATGTTTCTATCTCTCTTCCTCTCCCTTCCTCTCTGAAATCAATAAACATATTTGAAAAGAAAAAGTCATGATACATCTGAGTCTACTAGTACATCATCTACTAAAAACTTACCTCTTAAGATTGCCATAAAGGTGAAATGTATAAGATAAACCCTTGTCCCGTGTAAAGCACACTCTTAAAGAACCAGTTTAAGGCCCGTGCTGGCAGGGCTCAGTGGATAGTGTTTTCCCACGCACTGAAGGGTCACAGGTTCGATTCCCAGTCAAGGGCATGTTCAAGGGCATGTACCTGTGATGCACATTTGATCTGGGTTTGGGGGCATGCAGGACGCAACCAATCGATGTGGCTTTCTCATCAATGTTTTTTTTTTCTTCTCTCTCTCCCCTTCCTCCCTCATTTCTACTCTCTCTGAAAAAGCAATGGAAAAAAAAATCCTTGGATGAGGATTAAAAAAAAAAAAGAAGCAGCTTAAGTTCTCCCTCATCCACATAGCTTTAAATAACTATCGTTTCTTCTTCTAATTAGTTGGCACTCAGGCAACTTCTCTAGATACAAGAGAACTTCCTGGAATGTTCTTTAGACGTACTTACCTGCCCTTCAGCCTTATTATTATTAATTATTACTGATTATCTTCAGCCTTATTACATCACTTCATTTGGAGGGTCTTGGTTTAAATTTCCCCCAAGTGAGTCTAATGCATTAGAGTCTCTAGCGCCTCACGTAACACCTACTTGAACAGTTCACTGTTTCATGCGTGAAAAGACCCAGATGTGAGTCCTTGAGAATGTACTTCTAAGCCTCATCTTCCCCATGGTGAGTCAGGGCTACTCCCATCTCTAGGACACGGATTTGGGGACATTCCAATGAGGGAATGCAGTCAGGGCAGTTGGCCCCGGGCCTGGCACAGGAGCGGGCTGCAGTCTTCCTCTGTCTTACTCAGACAACAGGAAGTAGTTCCACAGCACCCAGCACAGTGCGAGTCCCTTGCAGGGGTCTTACTGCATAAACACACCAGGATCTGTGGAAGCAAGTGGGTGTGGTGAGAGCACTGGCTGCTTCTCATAGATAACGTTCTGAAAACTCCCCACAGGTGTGACCAAGAACACACACACACACACACACACACACACACACACACACACACCTTGTTTCCACATAAACATGGGCTCATATGAGGAATGCATCAAGTGCCAGGTTTCTAGCATGAAATCAGTTGTAAGGCAGGATGTCGAACCCAGAGACAGGCAGTAACCTTGGGAGGAACGGAGGCTTTCTCTCTCCTGCCAGACCAGCACCGCAGGGAAGGGACAGAACGCCTATATCTACAGCACCTCGGTTTCCATATTCTGTTTTACACTTGGTAACACAGGAAGCAACAGTGTTGTTTTTTGTTTGTTTTTTTTAAAAAATATATTTTATTGATTTTTTTTCAGAGAGGAAGGGAGAGAGGTAGAGAGTTAGAAACGTCGATGAGAGAGAAACATCCACCAGCCGCCTCTTTCGGATGTGCCCACAACCAATGTACATGCCCTTGACCGGAATCGAACCTGGGACCTTTCAGTCCGCATACCGAAGCTCTACCACTGAGCCAAACCGGCTTCGGCAGGAAGCAACAATTTTATGTGATGGCAAACACATTTGAAGAATATTTCACAGACATGGCAACGGTCACCCTGTGGGCCTGTGACCAGGGCCCTTGAGAGAGGATCCCATTTGCCTAAGTTCCTCAAATGGCTTCAGGACCACACAGGACCTCATGCTGACGCTGCACAACAAAGGGACAGAGAGGGCTGGGCAGAACAGCACGTTTATAGATGCGGACAATGAGCCATGGCACTTTACAGTCATTACAGAGGCGTTTTGACACATTGCGAGAGTGGACCGGAGAGGAGGGTGTGAGCTGTGCTGCTGGAGAACCCCTCACTGAGACAGGCTGGGCAGCCTCTCCCCACACCCGCCCGTTCTGGGGAGGGAGGGGTGAGGGGGCAATGGGACCGCAGCCTGAAATGGCGTTACCTTTGCCTCCCTCCTCCTCCCCCCGCCGTGGGACACTCTGGAGTGTAAGGCACGAGAACGGGCGGGAGGAAAGATGTGCTCCAAGCCCCAGTTCTTGGTGTGCAAGGGGATTCCTGGCTTAGAGCTTGCGAAACAGGTGCTAAACATATCCTTCCACCGCTTGTAATTTCTGTCCTTGAGACACAGAAAAACAAGAACTGCAAAGGATAAAAATAGCTGCGTCTAAATACCATGGGAAAAATGGCCCATGAGAAATGCGTAATTCTGCAAGGGATGCTCTGCTCTGGGAAGTCTAGGCTCGCACAAGGAATAACCCTGACATTCTGTGGAAAAAGGAAAGCTAAAAACGTAAACACAGTCAACACTCTTAAAATACTGCACTGGTGCTTATGAGAGTCTACCAAAGTACAAGTCAACATTGGCAATGGAAGATGTTTTAGGATGTAGCTTTTTTTTTTGACTTAGCATTTCAAAGCAGAGGCCAAAAATGGGGATGGGTGAGAAAGAAGGCACATTGACTATCAACACATTAAATATCATTTTGGTCCTCATTTCCTACAGACAACTAGGTTTCTCCCAAATTCATATGTCTGGAAATGGCATGAGCCAGATGGCTCATAAAAAAACAACAACATCAACGACAACACAAAACCCATAAAAACTTGTGAAGCTTTTCTCTTGAAAGAGCCACTTCTGGGCACCAGGAATGGCTCCCCCAA